GAAAGATAAAGATGGAAAGAAAGAGAGAGAGAGAGAGAGAGAGAGAGAGAGAGAAATAAAGAGGGATAGAAAAGGAAAGAGAAAATTGCATCTCTGAGAATAGCTGCAGAGGAATATGTCTTTCCTCGGTATGAATATTCCCGATGCACACAGACTTTGATCGTTATGAAAATGCAACTCAACGTGTCAACGAAAACGTTCACCGTCTGGAAAATTTATTCCCGTTTGAATTCAAATCTTTCTTCATTTTTCTAGAATCGATTAAGAAATTTCTTTTTTCACTATTTCAAAAAAAGAAAAAAAAATCGACAATTTCGTGTTGCAAATTTTAATACAACTATAATAAAAATAATTGTATTGTAACGTTTATTATCTATTATACTATATTATAATATAGTTAAATAGAATTTTCTGAATAGAATATATGTTAAGTTAAACGAGAACAATTAATTCGAATTTCTATAATTTTTAAAAAAGAACAATATAAATATATCGGATATAGTACCTGACTAATTATCATTATTTTTGTTAGATCATTTTTTTTACACAGAATTAAGTTTTTACTTTTAATATATATTTTTTATTGTAATTACAGTACAACCGCGATTAGATTGTAGATATAATTGTATCATTAACATATATTCATTCATCAAATGGCATCGAGTTAAATTCTGCGCCAATTTTAAAACGAATACTTCATAATTTCTTTATTAAAATTGTATAATAAATATAATAGCAATTATGATAATTTGACAACAAAATTACGTAAATAGAAACTAAACATTTTCTAATCAATGGTAAATATCGAAACTTAACAAAACATTTCCTTTTCAAAAATAAAAAAAAAGAAAAATAGAATTATTTAAAAATGACTATTTAACAGACATGCATTTTTTAATGGTAATATAAAAGGTGACAACACAAATTCAATGAGAATACACATATACTTTAAAATTACTATATAATTAAACCAAAATAAATATATATATATACAAACATACAACATATACAGTATGTCCCATTTATCTCGAAAAATTGAAATACCTTGTGAGAGACTGAATGTAGGAAAAAAATTTTATTATAAATTTGTTTAGTATAAAGGGGCATATCATACGGTGCCATATTTTTTTTTTTTTTCAAGTCGAACAACGGAGAAAATTTCAAAGCTAAATTCATTTTTTTTTATGGAACTATATATGACGGATCGTTGGTATTGGTTAAAACAAATTTAACGACGTGCCATATAAAATCATTTATTATTATAAAAATTTGATAAATTATATTATAAATTTGTAAAATCCTAAGAAATATAACTCTATAACACTGTTTGTCGCCTTTAAATCTGAATGGTATAAATTATTTATCTCCTTTTATGCTTCTCGAATTATGAATTTAATTGAAAGGAATTTATTTCGTAAGAGAAGAATAAAATCTTTTCGATAGGTTCGATCACTCACAAAATTTTCTCGAAATAAACAGGAAACACTTTTAATATACGCACGTGATTATCAACAAGGCATATTTTTTTTTTTTTTAGACTATATAAATAAGAATATTTTATATCTAATCACACTTCTTTTCATATACTAAGATAAGATTAGTGAGTTATTATATACTATAAGACTGATATAAAATATATTATATATAAAATATATTATATATAAACTATTTTATATATAAAATATATTATATATAAAATATATTATATAAAAAATATTATATATATATATATATATATATATATATATATATATGGGACTAATACGTTATTATAGACATATGTACTTACTTGTATGCATCGTTCAAAGTGAAGACGGAAGTGTTGCGCGTGCATGCGCATAAACCTACACCTACACGTCACATTATACGTAATGTTCTATTGGGAATAGCAGTACTACGCTCACGGCAATGTATCTAGTTTTACCGTGCCTCTGGGTCTCGTTTACCGGCTTCAAATTCGTTGACTTCTCTATGTAACATTCCATTTCAACTAGGATTGCACGAAAGAGAGACAGAGAGAGACAGAGAGAGAGAGAGAGAAAGGTAAAACGAAGAGACGAATATAATCGATTGACTCCATTTTAAAGTGTCATATGCAAGAATGAATAATTAATATTAATTTCTAATGAATTAATGCAAAATTAGGTTGATAGACTCATCAATTACACGCCTCCATTGAATGGAAAAATAATTAATAATTAATATTAATTTCTAATGAAATAAGTATAGTTACCTCTAACAATATTTATAAATTTTTTTTTCTGACCTTGATACAAGAAACTTAAATTTTTTTGAATTTATTTACCTTGTTAAATATTTACATAAGATAAATTTTTAGTAGAATAACTTATTTTTCTCCTTCCTTTCATTTTTTCTTTTTCCCCTTGTTATCAACGGCATGCGATAAAAATGGAACTTATCTTTTTCGAATATTTTTGAATACATTTAAATAAATATTCATAAAAAATGTTCAAAATTGTTCATTTTAATATATATTCTTGTCATATTGAAAATGTTATTGTAAACAAATAATATTTTTTTGATATAATTTATAGCATATATATATATATGTATGTATATATATATGTGTATATAAAATACATATATTTCGAAATGCATGTATACGAAATGCATATATTTCGAGAAATATACTCTCTTATAATTAGACTATTTCTTTTTATGCGTCAGTCTTAATGGTTTTTTGTTATTAACATATTGTCTACAAATTGATAAGATTAAGGAATTTAAGAAATTTGATAGTTAAGGAAAATTATCTGTGTTACGTAAAGCATTGCGTAAAAGTTAAAATAATAAATACATCCAATTGTTATATTAGTAGTTGCAAAGTATAAACAACGTTCAGTAGAAGTTTTGGAATTTAAAAGGTAGTACTATGTTCTAAATATAAAAAACTTAAATTTTGAAGACCGAACCGTTGATTCGTTGAGTACATTAGTTTTTTTTATTAATAACGAATGATAACAATATTGTTTTTTTATTTCAGATCAAATAAATAAAAAAAGATCTACTAATCAAAACAATTGACTATGATATATAAAACAATTTTTTTCATTGTGTTTTTCATTTGGAAAGGTAAATCAGTCGTGAAATTATTGTTATTAAATTTTTTCTATCGTTTAAAATTATTTGATTTTAGGCAAAGCAAATGATTGTATACCACGAAAATTCAATTATGATAGTTTCGTGTGCGTTTGCAATTCGACTTATTGCGACTCAACACCGGAGATCAAGGAACCGGAAGTAGGAAACTACTATGCATATAGTTCCGATAGGGATAAGAGACGATTAACATTCTCTCAAGGAAAATTCTTAGAAGATGTTAATGAGAATTCAATTCCCGATGGGAATAACATATTTTCACTTAACAATACTATAATAGTTGATAGAAATACGAAATATCAAAAGATACAAGGTTTTGGTGGAGCATTTACTGATTCAGCAGGAATGGATATCAAAACTTTGAGTGAACCAACTCAAAATATCCTAATAAAGTGAGTAATAAAGAAATTTCTATTTTTTATTAAGAATAAATATAGAAAATATTAAAGGAAAAAAATTTCAAGTAAGCTCATAAAAATCATTAAGCTAATGATTCAATCGAAATAATTCAAAAAAATTATTAATAATCTTGATAATATGAATATGTCTATCCGATCTAGAACATATTTCGATCGAAGTGGTAGCAGGTATACTTTAGGACGTGTACCAATCGGTGGTAGCGATTTTTCTATAAAAGCTTATACGTTGGATAATACGGAGAACGATACTAACCTCGAGCATTTTAAATTAACCAAATATGATACGGATTATAAAATTCCTTTGATCAAACAAGCGTTAAAATTATCTCCTGATTTGAGACTCACTTCAGCTGTTTGGAGTCCACCAATATGGATGAAAACTAATAATGAATATTCTGGACCAGGTAAATCATTTGACCTATTAAAAGAATATTTTTTATTCTTTCCTTCAATTTCGAAGAATTGTCTCAATAAAGCAATCATACAATTATTACAGGTATTCTTAAGAAAGAATATTATCAAACGTATGCCGAATATTATATAAAATTTATACAAGCATATAAAAGTTATGGCATTGATATATGGGCTGTTTCAACGGGTAATGAACCTAACGATGCGTGGATACCTGGAGCGCCAATATCTAGTATGGGATGGTTTCCATTTGAGTTAGGAAATTGGATAGCTAATAATCTTGGACCTACTTTGGCACGTTCGGAATATAACAAAACGATGATCTTAGTTTTAGACGATCAAAGATTCTATTTAATAAAGTTTTTAGATCATGTTCTCAGGAATAAAAAAGCATTAGATTATATCCACGGCATAGCTATACATTGGTATACGGACGAGTTTATTTCCCCTTCATTATTAGACATAACTCATAATAAGTATCCAAATAAATTTCTTCTTTTAACCGAAGCATGCGTTGGTAAGTCAATATATTGAATAACATGATAATTGATTAAAGTGTGAAAATTACTTTTTTTCTTTTTAAAGTAAATTTAAAGTCAAGAAAAATATATTTTCTCTTTCTCTCTCTCTCTCTCTCTCTCTCTCTCTCTCTCTCTCTCTCTCTCTCTCTCTCTCTCTCTCTCTCTCTCTCTCTCTCTCTCACTCTCTTTCTCTCTCTATCTCTACTTCTATCTCTATCTTTCGATCATTTTAATCTATTTTTAATTACATTAGGTTCTCAACCTAATGATAATCCGAAAGTACAGCTAGGATCTTGGAAAAGAGGAGAAGATTATCTTCTGAACATAATCCAGGTTTTCCTTGAACTTTTTCTTTTAAGAATCCAATATGAAATTTTGTTAATTGTAATATTAATTTTTATAAAATATCTTGTGTAGAATTTACGACACAGCGTAACAGGATGGATAGATTGGAATCTTGCTTTAAATAAAATGGGTGGTCCAAATTATATTTACAATTATGTTGACTCACCTATCATAGTCAATCCTGAAACTGATGAATTTTTTAAACAACCAACGTACTACGCGATCAAACATTTCAGTAGATTCGTAGAACGAGATTCTGTAAGGATTGAAAGCATGGAGACAAATGACATAAAAACTATTGCTTTTGAAACTCCATCGAAAATGATCGTAGTTGTGCTGTACAATATGTATGTATACTTTATTTACTATGAAAAGTCTTTTGCAATCATAAATTTATTATATTCTTCTTTTCTTTTAGGAGCTCAAAAAGTAAGAATATTACAATTATAGATTCTAAAAACGGTCCTATCAAGATGGAAATAAATTCATATTCTATTCACACTATAATATATAAATAAATATTTTATCTGACATTTATATTGCGATTTATATGGACAGAGATCGGATTAATTCAATAATATTTAGACTGTAATATCTTCAAATTTATATTTATATTGCATAAAATAAAAGTGTTATATTAAAAATTCTATTATAATCTATCCATGAAAAATATCAAAGTGAAGTACTATTTGCATCGAAAAGAGAGAAAACATATTATTTAAATTCTATGGATAAAAAGTTTGTTCCCAATTACCTAACTTCTTCTTCGGATTCACTCTAAGACATTTTGGTACATACTTTAAGGCATGTTCATCAAGTTTACGTTTCATAACAGAAATTCCAAATTGGAATGGATGTCTCTTTTTCATCATAGGACACATCTTATTGTCAATAAGATAAACTTTTTGCCAATGATATATCTCTGGTGGTTTTCTATAAAGGAAATAAAAAAGAAATGATTAAATTTGATTTTAATATCATATTTTGTATCTACAATTTTAAATATACATTAATATTAAAATTAGTTATTTAATTCAATTAATAAATTAACTTTACCTATGGCGTGGCCTATTTGTTACAAGATGTTTATAATATCTTTCCAGCCAGTCTCTTCGTTTGTCAGATTTGATGTCTGCTATTTTTTTTACAGTGTCTCCCAAATATGGTTTCATTTCAATCATTCTTTCTGCAGGAGTGTTTGCATAAAATTTAATTAAAGTTTTAAGAACATCAGTGTTCAAGCCATGAACCTTTTCACCTTCAACTTTATCAAATAATTTTACAGATTCTGTAGCCCAACAAATATTACGTCTCGGATTTTCATAAATATTTTCTGAATGCAATACAGTAGTATTAAGTTGATAAACATAAAATGACCAATATTGACCATTAGTTATAACTGCTTGATTGACAAATGGATAAGTAACATCGTGAAATGTTGAGAAACCTATGAAATTTATAAAGTAAAAAATCTAAAGATCATTTAATAATTAAAATTAAAATATTTCTTAATAAGAGATATATACCTTGATAAGAGGCTTGTGATAATAACCAACTGTAGGAAGCTAAAATAGCTTGTTTAAGAAATGCATCACTTTCATCATTACATTTTTCTGGTCTTTCAACTATGAATGCACTATTGTGATAAGATAAAAGACCAAATTCGCATGGATCACCAGGCCAAAATCCTGGTATATTCGTAGCATGCTTACGATTCATAGTATATCCTAATACTCTGGGATCAAAACTAAACTGTGGAACAGTCAAAGAAGAATCCTCGCATTCGCTCAAAGACATAATTTCCTTTAGTGGAAGATTATGTCGTGTTTGGAGAATAGAATTGCCATAATATTGTACAGGAATATCTATTGGATCATAGGCATATTGTCTCATCCAAGGTATACGTTTCCTTGCCTTTAATTTTAATCCCGATGGTTCTATCCCACCAACAAGCCAAAATGCTTCAACACGTGGTTCAAAATCGTTTTGAATTTCTAATAAATGTGGCCTAATATTAACAAGATTTGATTGTAATATTCTATTAATTTGATATACAATCGCATTTGTTATAATACTTTCCATCGTCGATTTTCTTTCTAATTGAGTTTCATTTAATTCGTGTTTCCTTCTGTAAAATGCAATATCAATTCTAATGAAACTACAAACTTATTTAATAATAATTTAAAATCTAGCCATATATATATATATATATATATATATATATATATATATATATATATATATGGATATACAATATATAAGATTCATGGAATAAAGTACGTTATCTTATAATATTATTGAAATTATTATTGTAAACCAATTAATATTTACCTTCTACTAGAATATTCAAAAGCAATGATGTTTTCAATCAAACTTTTACTTTCATTCACAATAGATTCAAGCTCTTCGTCGGACATTAAATTATTGTAAAAAGTTGGAAGTCCACGTTCTGGTACAATATAAGTTCTTGTAATATACTGCGCGTGTTCCAAAGAATTATAAGGTATTTTATGTTCATTCAAAATTAATGATTTCCAGCCATAATAATATGGCATATTGATTTTAAAAATCTTTTCCTCAACAGTTTTAAGTTTTTTAATTTCATCATACCAAGCTTCCCTTTTTCTCTTTTGATTAGCTTTGAAAGATAAATCTAATATAGGTGGATAAATTGGAGCATTTGTGATTTGACTTTCTTCAGACACAATTGTTGCATATTTCTTTGAGCAATGTCGTGTAATTGACACGGTATTATTTAACAATCGTAAATGCAAACGAAGAAACATTTTCTGTTTATAAATAAATTTTTATCAATAGAAATAAAGATTGTATTAATTTTTCATCTATAAAATTATAACCACATTTTTCTTTTCATTTTAACTACTTAATTTAAATAAGTATTTAAATACTATTTTTCATCCGTACAATGTTATTTTAAGTTAACAATAAATATTATCTTTTATTGTTAAAAGATATTACATTGGACACGTTTTTCATCAAATACAGATTAAAATTGGTTATAATATAAACACACCATAGAAAATGTAACTTTGTAATACATTAAATATCTAGAAACGATTTATCTTAAGATTATTCAAAACTGCGCATGCCCCGTCACAGTAAATACATTCGATAAATGAAAATAGAAAATATTTATTGTTAGATTTATTTTTAATAAATATTTATTAAATAATTTCATGCTCGCATATTATCATTGTAAATTAATCTAAAAATCTTTTCTTTTCCTTTTGTTTTTTTTTTTTTTTTTTTTTAACCTCTATCAAATCAAACTTAGAAGATTGTTTTGGACAAATGTGAATTAGAATTTATACGGTTGGCGACTCTGTTATTGGAATACTATGGATTCTTGTAAAGTGCAGCTGGCTGTCAAAAGTTTTTAAAAATAACGCGTTACTTTAACAGAGAATTTTTCATTGTAAAAATAAAATCAAAACGATCAATCGAAAAATTAAATCATCATGTTAACTGCTGCAGCAAATACTTTATCAAATAATGGTGGATCATACAGTAGTGATAGGCCATCAAGTGCAGGAGATCCAGAGCTTGCAGCAGATCCTGCATCTGGTGGATTTTTCCATTCTGATTATAAAAAGTAATTAATACTTCATAATCTCTTCAAGAACACTATAATATTTATTCTACAATTACATGTATATTTGTTGTTTATATATATATATATATATGTGTGTATGTGTGTATATATATATATAGAGAGATTAGTACGATATCTAATTTTTTCAGGCATGAAGATTTAAAGCAAATGCTAGATAGCAACAAAGATGGTTTAAAGTTAGAAGCTATGAAGCGTATAATAGGGGTAATTAAATAATATCTTAATTAAATATTAAATGTCCTTATATTATATGCAATAATATTTTACTTTTGTTTAAAACATTTCTTAATTTATATTAATGTAACTTTATTATAAAAATTAATGAAGTCATAAAGATATACATTTGTAGATGGTGGCTAAAGGAAGAGACGCGTCTGAACTTTTTCCAGCAGTAGTAAAAAATGTTGTATCAAAAAATATTGAAGTAAAAAAATTGGTATATGTATATCTAGTTCGTTATGCGGAAGACCAACAAGATCTTGCACTCTTGTCAATATCTACATTTCAAAGAGCTTTAAAAGATCCCAATCAATTGATAAGAGCCAGTGCTTTAAGAGTTTTATCTAGTATCAGAGTTTCTATGATTGTGCCCATTGTGATGCTTGCTATTAAAGATTCGGCTAGTGATATGTCACCATATGTACGTAAAACTGCAGCACATGCTATTCCTAAATTGTATTCTTTAGATCCTGAACAGAAAGAAGAATTGATTGGAGTTTTAGAAAAACTTTTATCTGACAAAACAACCCTTGTTGTTGGTTCTGCAGTAATGGCATTTGAAGAAGTATGTCCAGAAAGAATAGATTTAATACATAAAAATTACAGAAAACTATGTAATTTATTAGTTGACGTTGATGAGTGGGGTCAAGTAGTCATAGTTAACATGCTCACAAGATATGCCAGAGCACAATTCATTAACCCTAATATAGATGTAAATATATTACTAAGTTAAAATGATTCTGTCAATATCATTAACTTCTTATTGAGAAGTGTTTCTAAGGAACAATTATTTTTAGAGCTTAGAAGAAGATGAAAATCGTCCATTTTACGATTCGGATTCGGATTCCTCTAATATGAAAAAACCAAAATTTTCCATAGATCCTGATCATCGATTGTTATTACGAAATACGAAACCACTTCTACAAAGCCGTAATGCTTCAGTTGTAATGGCGGTATCACAATTATATCATCATACAGCAGCACGAAGTGAAGTTATGATTGCAGCAAAAGCATTAATAAGATTATTAAGAGGTCATAGAGAAGTCCAAAGCATTGTATTACATTGCATTGCAAGCATGTCAATTACAAGAAAGGTAATGTAAGTATAATGTTAAAGTATACTGTACATATTATAATATCTAATTTAAATTATACAATCGTGTATATATTATTTAATCGATTATTATATAACCAAAAACAAGTTAATCATATTATTATTATTATTTTATATAGGGCATGTTTGAACCCTTCCTGAAATCATTTTTTGTAAGGACTTCAGATCCCACACATATAAAACTATTAAAATTAGATATATTAACGAATTTAGCTACTGAAACTAGTATTGGGGTAATATTAAGAGAATTCCAAACATATATTTCAAGTAGCGATAAAGAATTTGTTGGAGCTAGCATCCAAGCTATTGGTAGATGCGCCAGTAATATAAAAGAAGTTACAGATACATGTTTAAGTGGTCTAGTTTTTTTGCTAAGTAACAGGGATGGTAAGTTTCCATAGATTTCGATAATTTTTAAGTCATATATATATATATATATATATGCACACTCACACACACATTTTTATAAACTTGTATTTTCCTGTTTTCTCAGAGGCTGTTGTAGCAGAAAGTGTTGTTGTAATAAAAAAGTTATTGCAAACACAGCCAAATGAACATAAAGACATTATTGCTCATATGGCCAAATTAATGGATTTTATAACAATACCTCAAGCAAGAGCATCTATTTTATGGTTGTTAGGTGAATACTCAGATCGTGTACCAAAAATTGCACCTGATGTTTTAAGAAAAATGGCAAAAAATTTTATTAACGAACAAGATATTGTTAAGTTACAAACTCTTAATTTAGCTGTCAAATTATATTTGAACAATCCAATGCAAACTAAACCATTTTGTCAATATGTTTTTCAACTTGCAAAATATGATCAAAATTATGACATCAGGGACCGTGCACGTTTTCTGAAGCATTTTATTTTTTCTGAAGATAATGAAACGAAAAAAAAGTTTCCTGAATTTGCGAAAAGAATTTTTCTAGCTCCAAAGCCAGCCCCTACGCTAACTTCAAGATTTAAAGATTCAGAATTTCAATTGGGTACTTTATCTCATTACTTAAATATGCCATGTGCAGGATATCGTCAATTGCCACCTTTCCCTGAAGTAGCACCAGATCCATCTGTTAGAAATGTAGAACCAACAAATGTACAAGATATAAAAGAACAATATAAATATACTCGAAAAGAAAGAAAAGAAAAAAAGCAAAAAGCAAAGGAAAAGCCTTTTTACAGCGATGATGAAAGTACTGCTGAAGAAGGTAGGTTATAATTGACATTGTAAAACTTTGATGATTAGGAAACAATCATTTTTAAGAATGAAATGTACAATCTTTTAACAGAAGAAGAGGATGAATCTTTGGAAACTTCAGCAAGTGAGAGTTCTGACGATGGAAGCGAATCCTCTGAGTACTCAGCTGAAACGGATAAGTCTGAAAGTAATGAAAAAAAGAAGATTATAAAACGATCCGAGGAATCTGACAGTATGACGGATAGCGAAGAAGATTCAGACTCTGAAGAAGATAGTGATTCTCAAGATAGCGATGAAGAAGAAGAAGAAGAAGAGGAAGAGGAGGAAAAAGTTATTAAACCAGAAGAAAAAGAAAAACCAAAAAGCAACTTAGATTTACTTTTAGATTTAGACGATGGTAAAATTATAGGAATTTACAAAACGGAATTATTCGTATATGAAAAGAAGATATATAAAATAATGAATATTTTTATTTAATAGTTGTACCAATGACACCGATAATGACACCAAGTTTAGGTGGTTTTTTAACGCCTATTAATCCAATTGCTGCAGATGGCATTAGAGAAGTCTCTACCTCTTTTATACCTATTAAAAAATATGAAATGTTGAATAGTATTACGGGACATGGTTTGAAAGTAGAATACAGATTTACAAGGTCACAACATTTAGTTAGCGCTCATTTGATTAGCATCGAATTAACATTTATAAACGAAGGAAATAAACAAATCAAAGATATACAGATTGGAATTAAGGTGAAGTTCTTTGTAATTAAATATAAATATGAATAATAGTATATTGTCATAATAGATAATATATAATATTTTTTTTTTTCAGAATCTTCAAAAAGGAATGCAAATTCATGATTTTGTGCGAATATCATTATTAGAAATAAATTCCACTCTATCTTCTACATTAGGTGTTAATTTTAATGACTCCATGCAACCGGCAAACTTTAATATTGATTTTACAATCGACGAAGAAAAATATTCGTGTCCGGTGACTATTAAAGCTCCTATAGGAGAAATAATCAGATCAGTTTTATTACCAGAAAATATGTTTAATAACGAGAAGGCAAAATTAAAAGGTATGAATGAAAATACAGCAAAAATATCATTTACGGGAAATAGGAAATATCTATCTGAAAAAATTTTCGAAACGGCGAACGTTGCAATGATATCAAGCGAAAATGAAATAATAAGGTAAATTATTCGTTTATTTTATACATCAAGAATCTTCTGAAAAAAAAAATTTATATATATATATATTCTGTAAGTTATATAATTGATCTTTAAATTTTCAGATTTGCTGCTCATACTTTAGCGTCAAAATCATTGGTATTAATAACGATAAAAATCATTGACACAGAACATTTGGAAATTTGTGTAAATTGTGAAAAAATGGTTATAGGCTCTATCTTATTAAATGAGTTTAAGAGTAACTTAAAATGAATGAAATGTTTCCTATATATATATTATATATATATATATATGATAGGGATATATCGATAAATATATCATATATTAATCGAATAGTATAATCATTCAATTTATGTTACCATAAAATTATTACATAATATGTTATATAATATATAATACATATTATATAATACATCACATATATTGAATAATAATTATTATGTTCAATTTATTCTATTTCAGATATATAAGAACACATTTTCCTTTAGAAAATATATTAATATTTTATTATAATACTCAAATAACTTTGCATTTTGAATAAAATCAAAATATTCTTCGTTAAAGAAATTTATCTTTTACACTAAACCATATTAATTTCTGTGAACCACAGATGTCCCAATCGGCTATTTCCCAAAAACGTAATCTATATTCTTTGTAATTTCTTAGAAAATTTTTTAATACTATAAAAAAAAAAAAAGAAAGAAAATATCAATTTAACACATCATCATTGTAGTAAAATAAAGAGAGCATAAAAAAAATTGTGTTCCTTACATTTTAGCATAGTGTTAGAAATTGGTTTAGAAAATCCAATATCCTCGTCTGGAAAACGTTTAATTATATCCAATAAAATTTCTGAACCAAATCCTTTATTTCTATATGCCGATCGAATATATGCCGTATCTAATACAGGCATCGTATATTTTTCTTTAGTCGAATAAACTTCAGTACCTTAATATATTAATTATCAAATTTATCAATTATTTTAACATTATAAATTATATCAGTGTATTTGAAAAAGAATTAAAATTAAAAATTACCTTTAGGTTTAACAGTATAAAAACCAATGGGTTTTCCGTTTTCCCATCTAATCAAAACTATATCAAATTTATCAGCATAATCGTATGGTGTCTCCAATTTTTCCGGTTTTGGAGTATCAAATTCAACATAAATTATTTGACACAATATATAATAAATTATTCTCTCTTGATTGGTTTTCATCTAAAGAAACAATCATACTTTATACTACGTTAATCAAAATATATGTCTATCAATCACGTATATTGTACTACATTAATCAAAAAATTTTTTTTAAGTGTTACCTCGCTCCAATTGTTTTCATATTTATCATTAAAACTATTATCTATATTTAAAATATCATCATTCACTTTTATAGCTACAAATTGATTACATTTTATACAATCGAGTCGATGAATAATGCCTTGTATATTATATCGTTTTAAATCCAATTTTGTAGCTTGTACGTAACTAATACATCTAAATAATAATACGTACAACATATATGTATATATATATTTTTTTTTTTTTTTATTTATTTCTTAATGAGAAGTATTATTAATTTAGTGATGAAAATGAATATGTTATATATATATATATAGATATAATTATTATTTTACAAAGAACAGGGCGATTTGTTAATTAACAGAATGAATTTTCGAAAGATCAATTATTTAATAATGTTACCTGGGGCATATCATTTTTTACGAAAATATTAACAGCTTGAATTAAATTAGACCAGTGTGATAAATGTTATTTTGTAGATTTTCCAAAAAAAAAAAAAAAGAACAAGGGCAACGATCAGAATTAACTTGTATTTATTCCTTAGCGATAATAGACACTAGTCACTGATAAATTTTGTAACCAATAGAACGAAGTCTCTATTTTATCTATAAATCGTAACTATCTATTCCGTTAGTGGGTAAAAAGATACGTATATATATATATATATATTTACATAAAAAAAAATATATATATATATATTTACATATTTACATATAAAAATAAAACATATAACTTAATATTTTACAAGCGAAAATAAATAATAATGAAATAGAACATTAATTAAATATTACAACTTTTTTCGAATAAGAATTAATTATAATATCTTAACGTTACATAAAAGTACATTTTACGAGTACTATAATTCGATTAAAGATTTAATATCAATTAGAATGTTAAATAATTCGATAGATTTATAAAGTTTTAAAAATGAAAAATTTCTTAATTTAAATGTTACGAATTTAGAAAACGAATAGTATTGTATATAATATTCATAAATGATAGTCAAATAATTTTTAGACTTTTTAAAAATATATATAGTTCTTCGTATGAATGAAGTAAAAAACATCTATTTTATATATATAGTTAGTGATTACAAGAAATATAATTGATATGAAGATATCGTTGTCATAGTTATTTAACATATACAATTTTCTTTGTGTGGCGATAATGTACTTCTATATATATATATGCACGTGACATCTTCGAATATGTAATACATTGTAAATATAGACATATACATGTACAGAAGTTGCATGTATAGAATATGCGCAGAAGTTCTTACAGGAACTGAACTATACATATTTTGCAGATATACACAAGTTATACCTCATACCATATATTAGTAGTATGAACAAACGTGAAAGCATCGACTTCTTATAATATAGTCTATTTAATATCTTACAGTTCGGATATCATATCGAGAGTTAATAGTGATATTTTCAAAATGCCAATATGTAAAGTGTCATTGCCATTGGTTGTAGGCGTTGTCCATCCTAATATTGGCGGATGGGTTGGTGCTTATTGCGTAAAAAACAATCTACATCCATGGTATACGGTAAGAAAAGAATTTTGTCGATATTCTTATCGATTATTTATTCAGTCACGTAATGAAGCCTGAGCTATAGAAAGAAAAAAATGAAAAAAAAAAAAAAGAAAAGAAATGAAAAAAAAATTGAGAATTATATTACGTTGGAAGTAAAATATAAAGATTTATGCAATTTCAAAAGTTGGCGGGAAAAATTTTAAGAGGACCCGCCTCTTTTTGAACTCTCACTTAAATGTTGTTAACAATACACTATCGTGTATCACTGACTATAATGTATATTATGAGAAAGAAAAAAAAGAAAAGAGAGAAAGAGATAGACCGGATATTCATTGCTACGTAACGTTCCTATTTTATGCAAGCAAATCGATTGATTTTTTTTTCTTTTTTTTTTTTTTCTATGATACCACATTTAAAAATTGATTCAGATCTTTTATAATTGTTAAGCTCATTAATAAATGTTTTGTTAATTTTTATGAAATTTAATGTGAAAACTTAATTATTTAAACTACATAATGCAATAATATATAAAATAATATCAGCGTTTATTTCATTTATGTTAGTCTTTGAAAAAACCATCTTGGACACCTCCAAATTGGGTTTTTGGGCCAGTATGGACAACTATATATAGTACAATAGGTTACTCTTCTTACTTAGTATGGCGAGATGCTGGAGGATTCAAAGAAGCAGCCCTTCCACTTTCAATATATGGTGCTAATTTAATTATGAATTGGGCTTGGACACCTATCTTTTTTGGGGGACACCATATTAAATTGGTAATTTTTTTTTTTTTATCAACAAATTTATCAAGAGTTATATAGAATAATATTAATTGTTATCAAATTGATTTCATTGAAATATTCATTTTTAGGCATTATATGAAATAAGTCTAGTATGGGGAACATCAGCAGCAATGGCAGTAGCCTTTTATCAAGTGAATCCACTCGCTGGATTATTAATTATTCCTTACTTTGCATGGTGTACTCTCGCGACAGCATTAAATTATGTAATTTATAGGGATAATCCACAAAGTTCATTGGAAGATAAGAAGGAATGAAAAATAAAAATTTAAGAACGCAGGGAATAGCTTGTTGGCAGACTATTAAAAGAAAAAGAAAAAAAAAAAAAAGAAAAAAAATATTGTAGTAATATTGGCTTAAAGGATGCATAGGGCATTCTATTTTTTTACAATTGTTATATCACTGCTCTTTAGTATATATGTGCTTTTCATAAAACGCACAATGTTGTTGTTAGTATACACATGTTTATTAATTGATATGAAATAAAGATTAGTTAATCAACCATACGTACATTATACAGTATAATTCATTATTGGTATCAGTTGATAAATTATATATAAAGTATAATTTAGAAGGAATCACTTTCATAATTCTTTTGATCTGTTAGTCTACTCTATTCTGCATAAGTTTCTAACAATTCATACTATGTTTCAAAACTAAATCGCGTATATATTCATCTTTGCTGAACAATCTTACAGATAAATTAATATTTTTTTTATACAGAATAGAGTAAACGATCTTACACAACAGAGGTATCAAATGTAGTATTGGCCTGTGTGCAACATCGCACACAGTTTCTGTTTTTCACGAACGCTACGTAGGATCAGTTGCATAGATATACCCTTGCTGCTGAAGTACGTATAATCTTTTTTCAACTGCATCTTTGTCTGAAAAAAAAATAAAAAAAAAATAAAAAAGCAAGTAAGTTATTAACAATAATATATACTGTTTAGTAGTAGTGATTATTATTTGAAGCTTTTAAAAAATACGAGAAGACTTACATTTGATAAGAAGAGCTTTGTCTGGACTGTGACTAATGTGTTGTGATAATGAATGTAACAATATTTGCGCTGTATGATAACGCTGAAAACATTCAGCAGGATTTCCAAATAATTCATCAAGGGCTGCGGATTGACACTAAAAGAAAAAAAAAAAAAAAAAAAAAAAAAAAAAAAAAAAAAAAAAAAAAAAAAAAAAAAAAAAAAAAACAGAAATTCAGAATTACTTTTCAATTATTATTCAATATTATTGAATTCTAATTGTTGTATGGATTAACTTTATTACCATTTGTATTGCGTGATTATAAAGAATTTTATCTGCTGTAGCCCCCGGTTGTCGAAGCAATCCTGCACTGTTAAGCTGTTTGCACTCTGTCAGGCAAGATCTAAACTTTTCATTCATTGTACTTACAACTAAAATATTAGAAAATAAGTATATTTATTAATAACATCATATATTTCTATATCTTTATCTTTTAGCTCGTTAGTAATCTTTTTTTTTTTTTTTAGTTACCTTCTTAAATATTTAGTTACCTTCTTTTACACTAGCTGTAGGTTGCAACCTTCCAGCTTTAAGCTGTTGAGTTGCGAGACTTAATCCAGAGCTCAACCATTGAAGAGCCCTCACTAACAAAATAACTTGTTCTGCTCTTCTTCTTGTTGCTGCATTGCTAGCTTGTTCAATCCCACCTAAGGGTGCACCTAAAGGTCCAGCTCTATTTCTAGCAACTTCGCATACACATTCACATAATGCCACAACAAAGTTCAACTTTGCTAAGATCTCTGAATGTTCCCGTTCTAAAAGCGTTTCTTCTGGGAGTTCTGGGGCTATAAATGTTAATGGACGATCTTCTGTTAATGTTGGATTAACGTCCGGGAAAAGATTTTGAAAACTACCCGCTTCTGTAAAATAAGAAAAAAAAAGTATTAATAAGAAAAATAATTAAATAATAATAATTAATTAAAAATAACTATTCACCTGATATTTCTGGAAGAGTAACAGCTCTTGTGCCAAAAGGTATAACAGGCGAATGCCTAAGTGTATTATTGTTATCTTGAAAAGCTTTTGAAGTAGGGGACCCTAAAACTGCCAATGGACCTGTAAGTAATGGAGAAGATGCACTATTGTTTCCTGTTGATCTGCGCAATGGCGAAGTTCCACTGTGTGAATGCCGTGCCACTGGACTAACTTGCCAAGTACTAGGTGGTGGTGGTGTTTCACTCAATCTATAAATTATTATACGCATATGAAACATATAACATATAACATATAACATATAACATATAACATATAATATTATACATAGATATCATGAATATTATTCTTATACCTTCTACCAGGTGGTGTACCTATTACAAATTGTACACTAGGTGGACTAAGAGAGCCAATGTCAAGAGCATGACTTCTGTGAGAGTCTACACTTCGCTTCATACTAATTGGCTGGGACCGAGGAACAACGCTACTTCCAGATCTCATATTACCAGATGGTGATGATGACTGTGCCACACTTCTTTGTGAGGGAACTGGAATTGGTTCAGATATGGGTAAAAAGCATGGTCGTGGTGGACTAACTGCCTCTCTGCTAGTTTGCTTCGTATATCTAAAATGATAATCACAAAGCATATAAATAAATAGAAATATCTATCATATATGCATATCTGTTGAAGAAAAAATATTTACTTGACTTGGGTATTAGTATTATTGTCTGTATCACTACTAAGATCACTTGGCACAAGCACAAAGTCATCTTCTGGACTGGAACATGGACTATTTGTTTCCGGTTCAGATCGTATAACAGCCGTAGGTCCTTCTGGAACAGCTAGTGTACCAGGTGAAGCTGGTAATTCTACAGGAACTGGACTGGGACTTTCCCTTGCTCCTTGAAGAAAAAGGTGACCAAAGAATTCGTCAAAGGACATACGATCTTTTGCATTACGTCTCAACAATCCCAATAACAAATCAGATAATTCTGGAGAAGTTCCTGGAGGAATTCTACAATAATAAAATAGATTAATAATAAATATAAAAAAAAATATATAATATATATATAAAAATAGATTTATAAAATTACGAAAATTTAAAAAAAAGAACATACTTTGGACCAAGATTTGCGTTTTTCTCATAAAATAATTTTAGTGCATGTGGTGTATGAGCTTGAAATGGTGCCTTTCCAGTAAGACACTGAAATACTATTGTCCCAAGAGACCATAAATCTGCTTTTGCATCATATTGAAGTGACATAATTACTTCAGGTGCCATATACATTGGTGAACCACATAATGTAGCAGCCATTACTCCATCTTGTAAAAAGCGGGCAAAGCCAAAGTCCGCTATAATGATAAAATTCGATATAGAATGTTAATAAAATCAAATAATATTTTATACAATTCTATTGTTAACGCATTTTACCTATTTTTAATGTTATTTGATGTGGTTGCGGACATGCTTTGCCACAATTATGACTGAGTAAAATATTTTGTGGTTTAAGATCCCTATGAACAATACCTTTGGCATATAATGCTTTCATTGCACCTGCTAATTGCTTAAGAAATACTCTGATAGTATCTTCTGATAATGTGCCTTTTGCTATTGAACAAGAATAGAATAAAAATAAATATAATATTACTTTAGCAGAGAGGCAACTATGTTTCACAAAAAAAAAAACAAATATATATATATATATATATACCCCCTAAATAGTCCGCTAAATCTCCACCATTACAATACTCCATAACCAGGAAGACATTATGAATAGATTCCTAAAACGAAATATCATTGTTATCTCTAAGAATTAATAAGATTTAATTAAAAATTTTCTTACCTTACAATCTAACAAAGCAACTACATTTTCATGATGTAGTTCTGTTAACTCCTGCAAATCAACGTAAAAAAAATGATCATTCCTTTTTCTTTTTTTTTTTTTTTTATCTTTTCTTGATAAACGATAGTACTATACCTTTAAAATCTTAATCTCTTTGCCGAGAAGATTCTGTGACTTCGCTAAACTCTTCTTTGTTATACTTTTAATCGCCACAACGCAGTTAGGTTTCTACAGATACAAAAGTATCATCGTAACACATTCAGTTTATAAAGATATTAAAAAGCACAAGTCACGTGTGAAAGAAATAGGAGGGAGTATGAGAAAAAAATATTTACTTTACGATGTCTGCCCCGGAATACAACGGCAAAAGCACCGTGACCTATCAGGTCCTTAGTGTTATACTCGTATTCACCGATGACCTCCATTCCAAGGAAACAACAATTTCTAGTTTCGTATCGATGATAAAGAAAGGGAAAAATTAATTCACCGATCTTTCGCGGACAAGGTCAATAGTTTACAAACATGTTCCGATTGACAAGCGAAAAGATGCATCGCCCGCGATAATAGGATCGATATGAGTGTGGAGGAATCTTCCGCCTTGTTGTGTCGTGAGATTTTCATATCCTTATTTTCCCTTCGACGAAGATGAAGGCTCTTTTATAGCCTAATCGTAACTCTTTCACGTTATAAATCATTAATAAAAGAACTCTTGCACTTCACTGTTCCGAAGGGGGGGGAGGGGGCACATTCGAAAACACCAAACAATGCAGACCACGCAACGTATCGCACAGAGTGGCTGTCGTTGCAAAATGTCAGACACGCAGCAATCCATTTACTACAGAGGTCATGCTTGACGCTTTCAGGAGCGTCCTTTGGTCAATCAGAACCCTTGATTCTTTCTTTACTTGTATTTTTATTTATTTTTTTTTTTATTTTTTATTTTTTTATTTTTTTTTTTTCAATCTCTTTTCTTCTTTTTAAATTAATCCCTTGTAAACTTACATTTTTTATTTCAATATATTTTCAAAAAGAATGATCTGAAATTTAATTTCGACAATACTTGTGTCAATCATTGATAATTGATACTTTTTAATTTTTACGTTTGAAGTTTAATAAGATAATGAAATCTCTCTCTCTCTCTCTCTCTCTCTCTCTCTCTCTCTCTCTCTCTCTCTCTCTCTCTCTCCTCTCTCTCTCTCTCTCCTCTCTCTCTCTCCTCTCTCTCTCTCTCTCTCTCCTCTCTCTCTCCCTCTCTCTCTCTCTCTCTCTCTCTCTCTCTCTCTCTCTCTCTCTCTCTCTCTCTCTCTCTCTCTCTCTCTCTCTCTCTCTCTCTCTCTCTCTCTCTCCTCTCTCTCTCCCTCTCTCTCTCTCTCTCTCTCTCTCTCTCTCTCTCTCTCTCTTTATATTATTATAAAATGATATTCATCCGCCATTTTGATATTAATAATATCAATGATTTGATGTAAATTTTTTTATTTTATACGATAATATATGATTATCCTAAGAAAAAATTCATACTTCTGTTATGAATATAAAAATTCATTTAGGTTAGCTGTGAACCGTAGGAATAGATTCCTGTCTATGTTTATAAACGTACGCCGCAAGAAAGTAGTTCCATTATAAATTTTAATGTTTCATTAAGAAGACATTGGTAAATTTTGAACGTATTGTAACAAACGAGTATTACGTCGTTTATAAGAAATAAAGATATTCAAGTCGGGGGATTCCATTCGTATGAATTTTTATTTATAATATTGGCTCACCGGTTAACCTTCTTTTTTGACGTACGAGCATGTGTGATTCATTCTTTCTTTCTTTTTTTTTTTTTCTAAATATCACAAATGTTTTACTTTTTATATACAAAGAATATTTACAATAAATGATAAATAATGGATAATTATATATGTCATAGTATTGTTGATATTGTTATGAGTACTATAACAATAAAATTGTGTTATTCTGTAAAAACAAAGAATTAAACATTTTAAAAATTTTATTTACAGTCCATTGAACAAGAAGGATACGTTATCATTTATATATTTTATCATTTTATAAAAGAAAAATTTTTATTTATACGATATGGAAGTGTAAGTAATATTATTATATTAACTTTATATATATATGTATATTAATTATAAAAAATTATAAGTTAACGATTGTTTCTAGACTCAATGATTGTGCTGCCTATTTAAGTAATTATGAAGTTTTGGATATGCTTCAAAATATAAAGTCAAATAAAAAACAAAAAATGACTCAGAATCAATTAGCAACTATTACTTATCAGACAATAAGGTATTTGGAAGATACTCCTTGTAAAAAACAATCTCCAGAAAAAATCAAAAAGTTCTTACAATCAATGGAACCTTTTAATTTAACAAAATGTGAAAAATTGACTTTGTTAAATGTTTGTCCCAAGACAGCTCTCGAAATACAATTGGTATTATTTTTTTCATTTTGATAATTTCATATAACCAACAAATGAATAATATAATAATAATCAATATAATAATTTTATAGATTGTAGAGGATAGTGAAGACCGTTTAAGCAACGAAGAAGTAGAATCATTATTGGAAACAATTCAAAATTGTTTGGGAGAACAAGAAGATGAACAGGAAGCAGAAACGGGATAGTAGTGAGCTATTCAATTTCTAAAAAATGTAAGCAATTTTCTTGTTGTTATTTATATACACTTTATTTATAATAAACATCAATGGAAATAGCATATTAAATATATTTGTGCGAATGCAAATTCATTTAGTCCATTATCTCTTTTGATCTCCTAGGTCATCTATAGAATCTTCATCGATCTAAAAGTAAATAAAAGTATATAAAAATATATATTCTCTATTTTATGGAAAAAAAAAAAATGTATATATATAATAAATACCTGAGGCCATTTTTCTGGAATCACTTCAAATAGATCATCTTTGACATCACCTTGTATAACAATCTCATCATCCCCCGTTACGCTTGATCCACAAGCAAATTTACTACCAAAAAATTTTGCTGCAACCTTCAAATCTATGTCTGTAAGATTATGACATATTGATAAAGAGATAATTAAACTTTTATATTTCTCATATGATAAAAATAACATGAATGATCAAATGAATTAACTATGAGATAATTTCTTTAACAAGTTAAGTTTATTAAAGAGATCATATACATCTATAGAAGAAAATACACATTCCTGAATTATTATAGTTACAAGATATAATTAAATAAATTCCATATATGACACTTACCGAATGTACTAAGGCCAGTTACGACAGTTACCGATTTTTTCTTTCCCCGTGGAGCTCTTGATACAGTAACTAACTTAGGTACATCCTCCTTTTTCTTTGTTTTAAGCATACCCTTACCACCACGTTTCTGTCTCTTCTTCTCATCTTCTCCTCCACCAGACTCCGTAGTACCATCCTCTACTGCTTGGCACAAAAATGGCAAAGATATTACATACATTGTACTATAAAGTTTTATTCAATAGGATAAATATATTTTATATAGATTGTTACTATGAGTTATATATCGGTATTTATTAATCCTTTATCGATTTATTTACCTAGTTTAACTTTTTCGAATTCGGTTGGTAAATTTCTTTCTAACCATTGTTTACATTTTTCATATTCCGGGTAATATTCGCAATACTGTTCCAAAAAAAAAAAAACCATTTCAGAATGGAAATAGAACTCATTAGATGTTATACAAAATATACGAAAAAAAAAAAAGAAAAAAAAAAAGGAAAAAGCAAATTTTCTGACATTAACAATTCATAACCGATATTGCCTTACCTCGATAGGAAGAGAACAATTCCCACAATATTGTACTTGAATAGGATAATTAACATTAGGATCAGGTCCTAATCGTAAATCTGGTTGTTCACTAGCCGACATATTCCAATAGATTTTAATTGTAATGTCACGATTAAATAATATACGTAATTTAACGACAAAAATCGATAAATTTTTGAGGCTTGAAAAACCTTCGCCAATATTATGAAATAAAGGGAAAGACGGGATTTGATGTAAAATTACAAATCGCAGTAAGGTTAGAACGTTAGTCTCCGCGGATGATCGTAAATTCTTTTCTTCGACATGTAATACGAATTTTCACACGCGCCTTTGTCGACCAATAAGCATAGAATATTCGAAATGAATCCAATCGAAAAGCTAAACTGGGTGGGGCGTAACCGTATCAACAGACCAATCAGGAAATAGTCAGCCTCTAACGTATCAGCGATCGCGCGAGTCGCATTCGAGTGATCGAAGTGTAGCGTGCGTGAGGTTCCATTTGACCAATCCCGTCGGTTAGACTTTGTACTTCGTTCGAAACGCACGTGCGGTAGAGAAAAGCGGCTCGGTATAGCGCGGAGCCGAGTAGTGTGCCGCCCCGTGAAAAAGTTGGTCGTCGATCGTGCCCGTGCTCTCTTTCTCTCTCTCTCACTCTTTTTTTCTCTTTTTCTCTCTCTCTTTTTCGAAATTTATCAGAAAGAAAAAAGTTCGTGGCGCGATCCCGGTACCGTGATTTTCGTGAGAAAATAATCATTCGTATCACGTTGAAAAAAATCGCTTGAACTAAAGCAACTCGAGGGAATTTGTCGACGAGGAATGGCACTGGGCGCTCAGATCAAGGCATCCGGGGAAAACGGGAGCGTGAAAATACCCTTGCTGAACGGCACCGAGGATCGAAACGCGACCGGTTAGTGAACATAAAATTTTATTTCATCGAGATGAAAAAAAAAAACATGTGTCGCTTCTTCGATCGTCTCGAACTATTTTTCGAGGTTAAATCTGTGCGCATCGTGCGTGTTCAAAGGGTCGTTACGTAATATAACGTATAGAAGAATCATTTCGATAGTTACTCAATTATGAGATTTCTTTCGGGCTTTTTAATGTGCTTTTAATAAAGTTGCATCCTTGTCTTTCTTTTCTTCATTCTGGCTTTCTCGAGTCGCCGGGTCTTAGAAGTTCAGTTATGTAATATCTTCAATTGCGCGAATCTCACACGTTCTGGAGTCATGTGAGCACGATGTAGAAAGAAAGAGAGAGAGAGAGAGAGAGAAAATGAGAAAGGGGAAGAGATAGAGAGGGAGAGAGAGAGAGAGAGAAAAAGAACCCAGCAGAAGACACTGAACGTTACCTAGCAGACGAATTTACGCCTTTTTTTTTCAATACGTTTGCGAACGTTAAAAAATAAGTTCTCTTTCATTTTTGCTATTTTTGTTTTCGATATATATATATATATATACATATATATATATATGTATGTATGTATGTATGTATGTATATATTCGTTATATATATATATAGAATATCTCTCACAATAGAAACCGATCTAGTTTCCGATGAACGACGAATTCCGCTGCATCTACGCATCCCTTTCCCAGTCTTCGAATCGATGCGTTTAGTTATCGAGACACATACTCGACTACTTGAGAAAAGAATCTTCAATGAAAATATTCTGATATAATGGTTTCTTCTTAATGAATACTATAACTTATGTCTCTTTCGTATTTTCAATGGGTACCGGACATGTGTAATTAACGGAAGATCACGTGTTAGGCGCTAAGAATTTATTATTCGTCAAAAAGAATATTAGTTTATTTATCAATTTTTTAAAGGAACATACGTTTCTTTTTTTCTTTTCTCTCTCTCTCTCTCTCTTTTTTTTTTTTTTTTTTTTTTTTTTACATAGATAATATATATTACAAAAGAAATAACAACAGCAATTCAATTTCGGCCTTCGCGTTATTTTCTCATTGCCAATTCCTCCCATTTTCTATCCCCGCGGAGGAACATTGGCTTTAACCCGCGCTTTCATTTAAATTTCAAATACATACAGTTAGCGATATAATGAAAATCGATGGTTTTTATGGTTTGTCATCGAGTGATTCGATTTGTCGAATCGATTCGTCGAACGAGAGGATTCTTTTATGTTGACCCTTCACCTTTTACGCTTAGTCTCGCAACTTGAAGAAAACTCGTCAGCGATAGTCTGATTCTTCGCAATGTTTATAGAGCTCGTTTTTGTGATGGTAATAGCGTAGAATATAACGGCCGTTGTTGGCATAACGGTCGGGGAAAGAGACGCATGCATTTTAATGTTGGAAATGCCAAACTGAAAATTTATTGACCTATTTTAATACAAAAGAAAACTAACGAAAAAGACGTTTTTAGGAATTTATAACGTGCATTGTTCGCCATTGATAAGATATATTTTTCTTTTCTTTCCTTTTTATTTTTTTTTAGATTTATATTACAAATTTTTCCATTTTATCATCGATCGACCATCGAGGTTATGTCTTCCGTGACCGCAATTGGTTATTTAAATAGTTTATCATGTATTTTGTGACAGAAAGATTATCGAGAACAAATTACATTATGCAATTGACGAGTTATCAAATGTAATGAAATTATAAAAGCAACGTACATTGTTCATTTTTATTGAACATAATGCACAACCAAAATCTTCGTTTTTCCTTTTATTTTTCTTCTTCCCCCTCCCCCTTCTCCGTACTCTTGCTTTTAGAAAATGCATTTATAGTTTCTTGTGTTAGAAAGAAAAAAAGAGCAGACACGAATGACACGTGCGAGTTAACGAACTACACACACACACACACACACACATTTGCACTGTCGCTTTGAAAGAAGGAACTACGTTGGTCAAAGGACACACGTGAAAACTTATGTTCCCTTTCCTTTTTTCGTGCCTTTTATACTTCTTTAATGTTTCAGTTGCAATTTGATCTTAATTACGTGTTCAAATTATACGGTTAAAACAAACTAATTATACGAAAGGCAAAGAAAATATGTTTGCATTTTGACTAATTTGAAAAAATTCTAATTTTCCCGCTTGAGCATGTATAAAACTCGGAAAAAGCAAAAGCGAAAAAGAAAAGGATTTTCGAGAAATAGAAAAAAATAAAAGAACGCGTCGATTAAAACAAATTTTTTCCATTTTCCATTTACGTGTTTCAAAAGTACAATGGCGGATGGTAGAAAAAAATATCGATAAGGAGAGGTTATCGGTCTTCTCTATGGAGCCATTAAAACAACGAACGAACTGTTTCATCTCAATATCATAATAATATTTCTTTACCTTTTACAATTATAAGCCCTTTGACAAAATCTTATTCCTTCTTTTCTTTTCTTTTTCTCTCTCTTTGAAATAATTAACTTCACAATGTATGAGGCAATAATCTTAATATTTCGGATTAGCTTTATATATGTATGTATGTGTATATATATATATATATATATATATATATATTCATGTTTATTTTCTATTTCATTAAATGTATTAAAGTGTGGTAAATAATATTTGATTAAAAAAAATGATTAATAAATCAGTAAATATTAATTGTACTATTAGATTTATGTAAACGAAGAACAAAAAAATCATTTCTCGAATCGTGTGAATATTTAACGTTTGGACGAACGTTTCTTTTTCTCTTCTTTCCTTTCATCTTCATGATTTTTTTTTCCTGTTTATCTTTCAGCGATAAGGTCGAAACTCTACCTATGAAAAGTGATTTATTACCTAAGAAAAAGAAAATAACCATAGATAAGGCGATTTCCTTTTGCGATAAAGTTAAAGCCTCTCGAGGAATTAATTTTTTGTTTAACATTTTTTTTTTTTCATTTCATCTTTTTCATTCTTTTTCTTTTTTAATTTTAATTTTTTTCTTTAATTTTTCTTTATTTAAAAAAGAAATATTTTTCCAAAGCTGAATTTCTAAATTTCATTTGTTAAATAATCATAATAGATCCAAGATCGATGTCCGTTCTAAAATATATCTATATAGTCAGATATATTGCAAACATGGGATCGATAAAAATAGTACGGCATTTGAGTGCGTACTATTTACATTGATGTTTATTTATAAGTACATTGGTAAATGCAAGTTGTGGTAGTATCAAGAACGTCTGCATGTTCACAATGAAATAATCAAAATATTTAAAAGACAGTATGATTTTTGAAAATGATAATAATAATAATAATAATAAAAAAAAAAAAAATATGACGCCTGTTTTACTTTTTCAGAAGTTAAGCAGAACGGCGAAGAAAGCGGTAGCACGAGTACGATCGCAGAAAATGTTGTAGAAAAGGGCGAAGTTGAAGCTACAAAGGAAGGGGAGAAGGAAAAAGATAAAAAGGATGAAAAGCTTGATAAGGAACAAGACAAGGATAAAGAGAAAGATGCGGTCAACGAGCAAGAAGTTGTTTATATCCAAGATATGGGATTTACTGTTAAAATCGTTAGCCCTGGCGCTGAGCCATTCGATATTCAGGTTTCCAGCATGGAATTGGTACAGGTATGATAATGATCTTAAAAAAAAAGAAAAAGAAAAGAAAAAAAAAATTTATCTCTACGAAATCCTTGATATTTTAATAATACATTATTAATCCTTAGGAAATTCATCAACTACTTATGGACCGCGAGGACACTTGCCATCGTACCTGTTTCTCCCTTCAACTCGACGGAAATACACTGGATAACTTTGCCGAGTTGAAAAATATCGAGGGCCTAAAAGAAGGTTCTGTTATTAGGGTCGTCGAAGAACCCTACACAATGCGGGAAGCTCGTATACACGTGCGACACGTTCGAGACTTATTGAAATCCGTAGATCCTACAGACGCTTATAATGGCGTTGAATGTAGTAGTTTATCGTTCCTAAATGTTGTTACCAATGGCGATATTCTAGAGAAAAAGAAAACACGAGCGGATTCGGTCGATTGTACTCCGCCGGATTACATTATACCTGGTTGTAAAGATAGGCCTTTATTGCCTTTGCAACCTCAAGCTAAAGAACAAAAATGTCCGCCGTGCCTAAAAGTGAGAAATTTGTTCTCTGATATTATATATATTCATTATAGTAAATAATGACGTCGTTATTATATACAATATTTATTTTATTATTTATAAAGGTGTTAACAACGTCAGGGTGGAATCCACCACCAGGTCACAGAAAATTACATGGTGATCTCTTATACTTACACGTTATAACTCTGGAAGATAAGCAGTATTATTTAACGGCCTGCGCTAGAGGTTTCTTTGTTAATCAATCAACAAAGGAGATATTTAATCCAAAACCAGCAACGCCGAGTCATCTGTGCCATAGCTTGATCGAGTTGTTGAACCAATTGAGTCCAGCTTTCAAGAGAGGCTTCGCTGCCATGCAGAGACGGAGAACGCAAAGACATCCTTTCGAAAGAGTTGCGACACCCTATCAACTGTATGCATGGAGTGCTCCACAAACCGAGCACACTATTGACGCTATACGTGCTGAAGACAGTAAGTTTTAATTATGAATATGCAATAGCCCTTTTTCAAACAGTGATTATTATAAGATTAATAATGATCTTTTTAATTTTGTTTTTCTTTCTTTTTTCTTTTTCTCTCTCTCTCTTTCTTTTTTCTTTTTTTTGTTACATTCTTTCATTCTTCTTTATAGCTTTCTCATCAAAATTAGGCTACGAAGAACATATCCCAGGACAAACACGAGATTGGAACGAAGAATTGCAAACTACCAGGGAATTACCTCGCAAAAATTTACCCGAGAGATTATTAAGAGAACGTGCTATTTTCAAGGTTTATTTTCTTTCATTAAGACAATTTCTTTAAGAAAATATTTGTAAATTTAATAGTATTGAAATATTATCTCTTTAGGTTCATAGTGATTTTGTCGCTGCAGCGACTCGAGGAGCAGTCGCCGTAATCGATGGCAATGTCATGGCCATAAATCCGGGCGAGGAAGCAAAGATGCAAATGTTTATTTGGAACAATATTTTTTTCTCTTTAGGCTTTGATGTACGAGATCATTACAAGGAACTCGGTGGTGATGCTGCTGCTTTCGTTGCTCCTCGTAATGATTTACAAGGCGTTAGAGTTTATGCTGCTGTTGATTTACTTGGACTCTATACTCTTGGCACAGTTGTTATTGATTATAGGTATATCGAAACATATAAATATATATATATATATATACACACATACACACATATATGTTTCTTATAATTTTATGTAATTGTGTAAAAATTAAAAAAAAATTTCATATATAATTGAATCTTCTTCCCGTTTTAAATCATTCTATTTACTGTCACTCTTTACAGAGGTTACCGTGTTACTGCTCAATCTATTATCCCAGGAATCTTAGAACGTGAACAAGAACAATCTGTTATATATGGTTCTATAGATTTTGGGAAAAATGTTCTTACACATCCGAAATATATTGAATTGGTATGTGCGCATAATAAATCTAAATAAATTTTGTTCCATATTTGTTATCATAGTTTATACATAGTAAATATTTATCTTTACAGTTAAACAAAGCTGGACAACAATTAAAAATATTGCCTCATAAAGTAATTAATGATGCTGGAGAGGAAGTTGAACTTTGTAGTAGTGTGGAATGTAAGGGTATCATTGGAAATGATTCTCGACATTATGTTTTAGATTTACTCAGGACTTTTCCGCCCGATGTTAATTTCTTAAAATGTAAGTTAATTAATAGGAGTAATTATAAGTTAATAGACAGAGAATTAGAATTTTTTAAAATTCTCCATACTTTGTTTAGTGGAAGGCGTTGAATTAAGTAAAGAAGCAAGGGCGTTAGGTTTTCCTATTGAACATAAACACAAATTGGCTTGTCTTCGTCAAGAATTAATCGATTCTTTCGTGGAAGCTAGATATGTTCAATTTATCAAGCATGCTGCTGTTCATCTTCAACAACTTACGTCTGCTCGAAAGTCACAGAAAGAAAAAGAATCATCGTCAAAGGTAATACAATTTTCAGATATTTTCTTTTTTTTTTAACATTAATGACTAATTTTAGGAAAATAAAAAAGAAGAAGCAAATGCCGTGGCAGTTGACAGTAACAAAGAAGTTTCAGCACAGTCTTTAATCGAGGCTGATGAAGCTAAAAAAATTGTTGAGAGTATTACTGATTCTATAACAGGAGGTGAAAAGCAAGAATGTATGTATTGTATATTCGTTTATATACTTATACATGTGATACATAGATATATTTAATGTCACTTGTGTATCTTTTTCTTTGCTATTTTTTTTTCTTTTTTTTTTCTTTTTTTTTTTCTTTTTTTTTTCTTTTAACAGTGGAAGAAAGTACTAAAGAAATAGTTCGTAGAGCTGCAGCAGCTGTTGGAAGTTTACGAGATGCGGAATTTGATGTAAGATTTAATCCGGATGTTTTCTCGCCTGGAGTTCGTCATCCAGATCCAAATGACGTTGCATTGAAGAAACAAAAACAATTGGTCAAAGATGCTGCAGATTTCCTATTGACTGTACAACTCCCAACTTTTGTGAGTCCATTTGTATATAATAGTAACATTATCTTTTCATGTTAACTACATTTAATTTCATTACAAATTAATATTAATTTTAGATTCGAGAATGTTTAGATCATACGGCCGCTGCCATGGATGGTAGCACGTTGATAGAAGCTTTACATGGTAGAGGTATTAACGTTCGTTATCTTGGAAAACTAGCGGTCATGTTAGCTGCAGTACCCCAGTTACGATATCTCAATCGTATTGCCGTTTCAGAACTTATTTTACGTTCAGCAAAACATATTTTCACGTCTTATATGCAGGTAAATTATCAAGATATTGATTAAAAAATTATTCAAAAAAGTGTTCTCCCCCCGCCTCTCTGTTTTCTCTCTTTCTTTATCTAATATTATTTTATATTTCAGGGTACAGAATTAATGAGTCTCTCAGCAGCTATCAGTCATTTCTTAAATTGTTTATTATCTTCAGCACAAATCATACATCCTCAACAAAATCTTGAAGAAGTATGTTACTGTAAAACATTTTATACGACATATAAAAGAAAAAAAAAAAAAAAAGAAAAAGTAATATTTGTTCCGACGATAATTATTGTTTATTTTCAGTTGCAAAGTAAAACAGCAAAAAGACGTAATAAAAGAAAGGGTAGAAATAATGGACCACAACAATCGGAAGTTGAATGGGCATCCTTGACACCAAAATCACTTTGGCAACAAATTAAAGCAGATCTGAAAAGTTATTACGATTGGGAGACACCAACACCGGAATCATTGGATGCTACGATCGAACATTTCCATCTACAAAAGATTTCCTTGCTTCGTGGTTTTTGCATAAAAACGGGAATTCAGATATTACTTCGTGAATATAATTTTGAAAATAGAAATAGAGCCACGTTCTTTGAGGAAGACATCTTAAATATTTTCCCTGTTGTTAAACATATCAACCCTAGAGTGAGTTGAATACAAATTACATATAAATTAATTATCTTAAAGCATTAAAAAGAAAAAAAGAAAAAGAAATTAAAGGACAACAATCGTTTAATATTATTACAGGCTAGTGATGCTTATAACTTTTATACAACTGGACAGAGCAAGATTCAACAAGGTTATTTGAAGGATGGATATGAATTAATAAGCGAAGCATTGAATTTATTGAACAATGTTTATGGAGCCATGCATCCTGAAATTGCACAATGTCTTAGAATGCTTGCAAGGTTGAATTATATAATGGGAGATCATGGAGAAGCATTAGCAACCCAACAAAAAGCTGTACTCATGTCAGAAAGAGTGAATGGTATAGATCATCCATATACTATCACGGAATATGTAAGTGTTCGAAACGAAATGAATTTCTTTCCACAATTATATTTATTTAAATATTGTTGGAAATTTATTTATTTTTCTTTTTCCCCCTTCATTACTAGATTCATAACATTGTCGGAAATTTATCTTTTTTTTTCTCTCTCTCTCTTTCTCTCATTACTAGATTCATCTCGCATTGTATTCTTTTGCAAATGGTCAAGTTTCCGTATCGTTACGATTATTATACAGAGCACGTTATCTCGCATTGTTAGTTTGTGGTGAAGATCATCCGGAAGTAGCTCTTCTTGATGTAAGTAACATAGAGATATTTGTTGTTGATAAATATTGTGTTATAATTAAAACTTGACTTTTTCTTATATACTTACAGAGTAACATTTCTTTAATATTACATGCCGTTGGGGAGTATGAATTATCACTTAGATTTTTGGAACATGCTCTGGATTTAAATCTTCGTTATCATGGTCCGCGTTCATTGAAAGTAGCAGTATCTTATCATCTTGTTGCAAGGACCCAATCATGTATGGGTGATTTCCGTGCAGCCTTAAACAATGAAAAAGAAACTTACGCGATTTATAAACAACAATTGGGCGAAGATCATGAAAAAACAAAAGAAAGTAGTGACTGTCTGAGACATCTTACGCAACAAGCCGTAGTATTACAAAAGAAGATGAATGAAATTTACACGGGAAAGTCAGGAGTTACATTGCCGCCTATTCAAGTGCAACCACCTAGTATGGGTTCGGTTCTTGACATGTTAAATGTGATAAATGGTATTCTTTTCGTACAAATCAGTCAGCAGGATATTGAAAATTTCAAAGCGGAAATTGAAAAGCGACAGAAAGAACAATCGCCGGATAACGAAAGCAAAGCGATCGAAACTACTGAAAGCAAAAAGAACGAGAAGGAAAATCGAAAAATTGAACAAAAGTCAGAAGGGAAAAAGCTAGAAGAGACTAAAGCAACATTAGAACCGGTCATGGCAGAAAGCTGAGCTTTTTATATGCATACAGATATAGAAAGAGTTAGTAGTATCATTTTCAAATCCTAGTCTCTCTCATCATGCCCGCGTTTGTCCTTTCGAAAGGTAACGCTTATAAGAACACATATACGATTGGAATAAAATCGGAGTGGGGCAGTGTCTTTGTAATAGGATTGTCAAATAGTGCATTATATTTGTTTATAGTGCTATAATGTTGGAACTTTTGCAGTGCAGTGTTTCAAAGTCGTAATCAATATGTGGGAAGGAGCGCATTTGCAAAAAAAAGAAAAAAAAAAGAAAAGAAAAAGAAAAAAAAAGAAAAAGGAAAAAAAAAAAAAGAAAAAAAAAAGAAAAAAAAAAAAAAAGAAAAAATACGTACTTTCATCAGATCTGTGACGTTCGCTCTTTAAAATGTTGCGGATTTTACTTGGCCCTTCTATATCATAATCAGATACAATAAACAAATTCAATTGTTGTTCAATGTAAATAACGTTCAAAGAGATCTTATCTCTTATAAGGAGAAAATTTACCAGCGTGGTAAATTCATTTGACCAGATACAAAAGAAGGTCTACGTGTAATTGAAAAAATTCATTAAAATCGAAGAACAAGAAGTTTTCATAATTGCAAAGCATTTTTCTAAGGCCTTGAATATTTATACTTTCATCATGGCAAAACTATATCGTAACATATACACGCGCGCGTGCACGAACATGTACTCACACATAGATACGTCAAATTTTGATTATTTGTTGATTTATTTTGTCTTACTTTTAATGTTCTTTAGTAATTGTTTGTGAGAGGAGATTTAACGGAAATGTTAAGACAGTGTTCGTTTTATTTTATTTCTTTTTCTTTTTTTTTTCTTTTTTTTTTTTTTTTTTTTTTTTTAATGAACTATGAATATTCATTGACACGTTATTAACATTTAAGTCATTTGTTTTCTCTTTTTTATAGTTATACATAGTATACTTCATTAGTATATTTTGAAAAAGTGATCATTTTGTGTCATAAAAATACACTTATATTGTTTTTCATTCTTGTTACCAATGATAGAGAAATGTATAATGCCATTTTTACATTCGTATATCATGAAATTTTACTTTTCATTAGTTAGATTTCATTAAATTCGCGTTAAAGGGCTTCCTGATCATTATTTTTTAAATTCATTTACTTCTGTGCAAATATTGAACATTATAAATAATGCATTTGCCTTTTAATATGCATAGGATAAACAATAACGAGGAATGTGACATAATGGCACCTACATTATTACATTTGTAATCATCTACATACAGATGCAACTCATTAGTCAAATTACTGCTAGAGTAGCATTAGTTTAATATAATCATTAATTATACTATAAGTAATGCTAAGATATCAGTGATTATTACAAAGGTGTTAATATTTTTTTTTCTCTATTACATGAATCACAAATTTATCATTTAAAAAAAATATATATGTCATATTTCAGCTTTATTTTTAGAAATCATTATGATTGAAACAAACTAGCTTCAAAATATTAGAAGTTACCATGAAAAACAAAACAGACTGTTTTATTGCAATATAAATAGTAAATAAAAATAGTATTTAGATGCATAAAGAATCATGTCTATTAACAGTAGTGAAAGATCTGAATTAGCGATTTATTACCATGCCATATATAATTTTAAAACAGATTCATACACTTTACCCCCTACAAAATGTATAACACTGATTAAACTGAATTGTACGATAAAGAAACTTTAGTCTATAAGTATTTGATTATAAATAAAGTTAAATACTTAATTTAGACATACCTTTTGTATATGTTGATAAAATTATTGTGTGAAATACGTTGTTTCTCATTGTTATACAAAATTAATACAATCTAAAATGAATCTGCACTGTCCTCAGCTGACGAAATATTTAATTTTTTTTCTTTTTCTCGTTTATTTAATTTAGAGGGAGGATCTTTCTTTGCTTTCTTGAATTTTTTTCTTCTCTTTTTATTTGTTTTAGAACAAAATTGTTGAAAATATATTCGGACATTTAATTTGTTTATCAAATATTGTCTCAATGTTTCCAGTGTATTTCTCCCACCACTTCCACTTTCGAAAAATAAACTAATCTTTACATTTTTTTTTTCAGGATCTTGTTCATCCTCTAATATGTTAAGAAATAAATTGAAAATTAACAAAGGACCTTTATGATCAGATATTTCTGTGTCTTTTGTAGAAACAAACTGTGTATCTTCATTTTTTACATCCATATGTTGTGTTTTTCTGATTTCAGATTCTACATTAATTTGCTCTGTAACTAGAGTACTTTCTATATTTACTTTTTTGCAATCTTTACTTTGTCTTTCGGCTAAACGACGTTTTCTACGCGCATGCGACCATGTATCATTTTGTGCTGTGAGTTGACATCCCCATTCACTCAACGTATTTTTTTGTAACTCTAACTCTTTTATATTTATCTATTAAAAGAAAAAAAGAAGAAGACAAAAAAAAGAATAAAACTACATACAAATACAAATGTGAAACTAAAATTTTGTTAATATTATATTACCTGTAAACTGTTAATTATCTTCTTTAATTCTATAATAACATCGTTAATTAGTAGATATTTATCTTGCATGGGAAATATTATTTCCAAAGGTGAGTGATCTTTTGAAAACTTATCCATGATATTGCTTTCTCTTATAACAGGTGCTTTTGTCAAATCACATACATCTATTGACAAGAAAGACCATGCTAAACCCCATCTATATAAATAAATTTTATAAATATTATTTCTTTAATAGAATTCAAATAAAATATATTATTCACCGTTTTGTGTGGCCTTGACAAAATTCTGTCCATGTGAAATTGTTTATATTATGTTCCTTTAATAATTTGACAAAGTAGAATAAACTATTTTTTTTTCCAAACATAGAAGTATATATTTTTATCTTTTCACCAATCTGTATACTCTCTTCAATCATTTTTGTTACAAATAATTTTTCACCTCCTTCAATGCTTAGTTCCTTATTACTGCCAGTAGGAGCATTTCTTGGTGGTTGTTGTTTTATTACTTTATCTGATGTATCTTCAGTTTCAAAAAATGGAGGATTACACATTATAAAATGAAAAGTTTCATTTTCTTCTATCGTTTCTTTCAGAATTTTATTTTTATCCACTTTGATCACTAAATCAATAAATACTTTTTTTTTATATATATATTTTTACATATTATCACTAAAATAATTAAAGGTCTACCTTGAATTAAATTTTCTAGATTATTATTCTTAACATTTTCTATTGCTGATTCAATACTTGTGTCGTCAACTTCTGTTCCAAACATATAACATCCATATATTTTTGCCAGCAATAAAGGATATATACAAACTGCTCCTGTTCCTATACAAAATATCTATATTATTATAATTAAAGAATTGTTACGTCGTAATTAAAGTTTTATTTATTTACCAATATCAATGCCTTTAACATTTTCCATTTTAGTAAAAGAGGCATGTGTCATCAAATCTTCAATCCACAAAATATAATTCAAACGTAAAGGTAAAGTTGGTACTAATTTATTTTGTGGTATCTTTACTGTGAGATCGAAGTCATGTTTTAATAATACTCTGGTAAGAATACGCAAAGTTTCTTCATTTTTAAAGTCAATATGCACTTTTCCTGTGAGATCCTAATGCATATATGTATATAAATACATATATATATATATATATATATATATATATATATATATATATATATATATATATTTATACATACATAAATACAATTTTAATTAGTTAGAATATTTCTTCTTACCGTAACTGCAACTTTTCGAAATTCTGGATACAAAAGAGCAAGTTGTTTAAAATTAGGACTCTTTTTATATTTATTTCTTGGATGCATTAACTTTCGCAATGCCATTGTATGAATTTGCAATTTACAATAGTACGTGTTATTATATTCTAAACGCGACGCAAATAATTAATTCAGTAAAGTGTACACTATGAATACACAATATTTTCATTACAAGACAACATATTTCGTCATTAATTGCACATTTCTAAAAAAACAGAAAAGAAGACTATATCAATGAATGAAGTTCAGAATAAAAAAAAAATAAATACTTCTATTATTGTATCATTAAAGTTGATCAACATTATTGTTTATCAACGCTCTCTAGTGATCACATATTGTACTAAACTGGATGAATCTAGTAAGAAGTAAGTCAACGACCTCGAACTATCTACGTATAGATTCGTCAATAAGGATGCAAGTGCATTATAACGAATTACTGCGCAAATTAAAAAAATATGATCATAATTAATTTGTTTATACGTTAGTATTATCGACAGTACACGCTTATATATTTAAAAATTTGCTCATTGATATAATTAAATTCAATGAATTTAAAGTCTGATTATACCTCGTTTGTAACAAGTACAATGAATAATTTACTTTAACGGAAAACGTAAGATCTTATGAAGTTGTTTTAATTGAGTTAAAAAAAAAGACAAGCGGAGGCGTTGTATGTACCGCCATTCACTGATACGCACCGACGCGCTAATGTTCATTGCTCGATATGTACAGCAACGATGAGGATATAGAAACGCCGTAGAGAGAAAAAACACCTGTTGCACATTTTCGTCAGAATAATGACCCATCTACTAAAAAATGTGACGAACAGTATTTGGCACGCGTTTCACGCGTTGCAAGGTGATACACCTGATCTTGTTGCTAAATCGAAGTTAAAGGTGAGTCATTCTTTGTGTACTCTTTTTATAATTTTTAGTTATGACTTTATTTCTTACGATTAAAACCAAATGAATCCGTGAGATTTCATTTTCGAATTATTCGACATTCGGGTGTGGCTACGTTTCGTCTCATAATTTTCTATGAATTTTTATATATATGATATTTATTATCTCGACGTTGACCTTTCCTTTTTTTTTTTTCTATAGGTGTTAACGGCCAACATCGGTACGTTAATGGACTTATATGGTGTTGAAAAAGGTCTAGAACATTACCGTAGTACTCAGAATCTTTCATTTGATCAATATATTTTTTACTTGCAAAAAGAGGTAAAATCATTAATTTATTTAGTCTTTTTTTTTTTTAATTCTTTTTATATTATTTAATTAATTTATTATCTTTAATTAATTATATATAATTATAGGTTTTCTCATCAATTACCGATGCAACTTCTATACAAATACATAGATCGTTGGAAAAAGGGATAGATGAAATATGCTGGTTGATCTGTAAAAAAATGTATTTAGAAAGGTCGCATCCAATATTTGAACCTAATAGCGTTTATCAATTATTTAGAGTATTTTGTTTATTAGCTGAATCAGAATCAGATAATATGGATTATCATATGGTTTGTCATCATTACATATTACAATAATCATTATGATTTATTGTTTGTTATTATGTTATCTTCAAAAAGAACAATGATTCTTTATTTATTTTATAGATTGCAATGCATACTGATGAAGTAGCTCAAGTTGCTTCTCATTTGGTAACATCATTAGGATTGCAATGGGATGCAGCAGATTTTGCAGCTTTATCAGCAGCTATTGGAACTTTTAGGTATTTTATTACAAGCAATTTGAATTATATATATCATTATAGAGATATTATATTTAAAATATTCATTAATAATGGCTTTGAAAGGTTTCCCACGTTTCTGGCAGTTTTGGAATCCAAATATAGTGGTGGTAGAACTTTGGATAACATAGCATTGACCGAAGCTATAGATGATCTCCATCAAATATATATAGAAAATGTGGTGAAAAAAGTAAGATATTCATTGTTACCTAATAATGCAATTTAAAAATTATGTTTATTTGTTAATAAATATTTTTATAGGGATATTTAATGAAAAAAGGTTTCTTACTTCCAACTTTGAAGTATTTTTGGTTTGTTCTTCGTCCTGGTGAACTATTATATTTTAAAGATTCTCAACAAAAAGAACCATCAGGTTCAATAATATTGAGTACAAATTGTTGGGCCGATGCGATTACTAGTGGTGGAAAGCCTGACAGAAGATTTGTATTAAGTACGCCTGAACATAGATGCATAGAATTAGTGGCAGATGATCACAAAGGACGATTACAATGGTTGGCAGCTTTGCAAATTGCTATTCAGCATTCAGGTGAAAAAATTGGTTATCAAAGAACTTTAGCAAATCAAAGGAGATCTTTAAGACAAGTAAGTTATTACAACTAATATATTTTGTTTGTAACTTTATAAGTATAAATTCTTCATATTATCAGTCAGTAAAACAAGAAAAAGAGAAAACAAGACTGGAGTTGCAATATGAAAGGCAAGCTAGAATCGCGGCAGAAATTCAAGCTAGAAAACTCGAGGCATTGTCAAAAGAGGAAGGAGCTAAGGTTCACGAATTGGAAGAAGCTAAATTAAAATTAGAAACTCTTTTGCAAGAAGAAAAGCAAGCGTTGAGAGATGAAGAAATAGGTGACAGATATATTCTGTATTTCTTAATTTTTAATTTTTTTTTGTATTTTTTTTGTTTTTTGTTTTTTCTTTGTTTTCTTAAGTATTTATCAAATGCTGTTATTTGTAAATAGTTCGAAATCTTCAAGCAAGGGTTCTTAGAGAAGAATGGGAAAGAAGAGAGCAATTAGAAAAATTACAACAGGAGCAACAAGATCTATTAGAGATGGAAAAAATGAAAAGGTTAGAATTTGAGCGTAAACAGCAAGAGAATGAACATCAATTGCGAGGTATTGTGAATTTTTTTTTTCATACTTAAGTATGAATTAAAGAATTTTTCCATAGCATTAATTTACAGATGCAGAAATGCGATTACAAATGTTGGAAGCCGAAAAGCAAAGTTTAGATGCCGAGCTTCGCGCAGCACAACAAAAGGTAAAGCGTGCAGAAGAAGCACAGATTTTATTGGAAGCGCAAATAGTTGTAACACGTCCTTTAAAAAGTGGTGAAAGAATTAGACGTACGCAAAGTTTTATACCCACTACAAAGGAGAAACCATTGTCTGTGGAAAAATTTGATCATAGATCAATGACATTGCAAAATAATTGTTGATGATACATGTTATATACTGAATAAGGAAGAGTAAGAGCTGTTACTATTTCTATAATCATCCATATTGAATTGAAATTCTTTTATCGCGAAAGTATAATTATGAAAAATATTGAGATTATACTTTGATGTATCTTTTATCAGGGTATTAACACTATAGTTCCTTATTCCAAACAACTTGCCACGTTATAAAATTTAGCCAAAGTGCATAAGAACCTGTTTTATATATGATGATTTAATATATACAATGAAACTATAGTATGAAAGAATCACAAATTAAGATTTAAATTACGATTTTTCTTGTATATAATATATGAATTTTTTAATAATGTTTTAGCGCTATTAGCATAAATAAGTTACAATAAGTATTAATTATGATGAAAAAGAATATTTAACGTAATATTGTTATTTAACTTAAACTTACACATAAAAATTGCGATATTTTTTTTAAGATGTATGTCAATATTTTTATAGCTATTTATATGGTTACAATAATTTATATTCTTCCAACTTTATATATATATATATACATATATATATATATTTATATATATACATATATGTGTGTGTGAACGCAATTAGTGACAACAGAATTGATCAAACAAGATCTGTTATATTATTGCGTGCGATACAGTAGTACAAGTTACGTATTGCGTATTTATCAGTACTAAAACATATCGTGCAAATCATTTTTTATATAAGTTTTTAAATTTAACTTATATTTATAAAACAATATATTATATATTATAACAAGTATTATTTATATATCCAAACATCGTATTAGACCAAAAGATATCTCCTTTGTATTTGATATAAATATATTAAATAATTTAATATAAAAGAAAAATGCCATTAAAAAGAAAAGGTAAAGTTAATAAGTTTGCTCGTATGAGCGAAGAAGAACGTGTTCGTTATATGCAGCATCGTGCAGAATTAGAATTAGAAGCGAAAAGACGTAAACAACAATTGGTAGCAATTTTTAGTAAGGTAACATATTCTCGACAATAAACTATATATATATACATATATGAAATATTTTTTATATTTTCATTTTACATATATTTAAGATAATTTTTTTTTTTTATTTAGAACAAATTGAAACGCGAAGAAGCTTTTTCTAGATTAAATACAGCAAAAATAAATGAACAGTGGCGATTTATTCTTCGTCGGATTAAATGTAAAGAATTTTACGAAGATGTAACGTATCTTTGGAAAAACTTTGATAGAATGATAAATAATAAGGATAAAATAGTACAATTATTGCATGTAGAAATAAAGATGGCAGATATTGACCATAGAAGATCGCAAGAGGCTCATATTGGAATAATAAATAAAATTATTGGTAATACTCTTGCAATTTTTCAGATATATTATATCCTTTTTCCAAATATATTTTTTATTCAAAAATCTAAAAAAAGAATTTTTTTTCTACATATATAGAATTATACAAGCAAAAACTTAGAGCTTTATGTGATGATTATATTTATAAAGTGCATAGCGTTCAAGGTGAAGAAACAATCGAATTAAATAAATTGAAAATAAATATGGAAAGGGCTTGTAAAGAAATAAAAGTTATTACTACAAATGAGAAAATAGAATTGGAGAAAATATTAACAAAAACAAGATCACAAAATGCTATTAATATTTGTAATATAATTTCATTGGTAACAAAATTGAATTAATAATTCGAGTTTTTTAAATTTACCGACTATATATTTTACTGAATGAATTTTTTATATTCTTATTTACAGAGAAAAGATATGATGTTAGAACTTCAAAACAAAATTTCTATTAAAATAGAAAGTTTATCAGAAGAGTTAAATGAGATAATGTTAGAATATAATAAAACTACAGAAACTAAAAGAAAACAGTATGAATTTTTAAAAGAACAAGATGATGCTAATTTTACTGAAATGACACAATATCCAAAATTAAATACACAATTACAAAATATAGTTAATACTATAAAGAATGAAATAGAAAATTTATTAGAAAAAAGGAAGTTTAGCATTAATAAATTGAAATATCAAATGAAATTTATGAGAAACAAATCATTGGCGATAAGAAAAAATTTTAAAACTAATCAGATTTTAGAATCTACACAGTTAAAAAATTTAAGTGTTGTTTGTAATAATGTCATAAAGGTGAGAAACGAAGTTAACGGTTATTTTAATTAATTAATTTTTTTTTCATATTTTTTCTTCATTTACAGGATTTGGAAAAAATTACTAAAAAAGGTTTTGCACTGTTATCATTGATGAAGTTATGTTCAGAATTAGAACCTTTATCGGTGTCTATTAAAATGTATATTTCTTCTGACATAGATATCGTAGAAGAATCAACTATGTATTGCGTGAGTGCTTATGTAAAATTATATAAATTTTTAAGAATTTTAATAATTTAAATTTTATATAATTTTTATATATATAAAATATACATATATATATATATACACAGGTATCTAAACCATTTCAAAAATTAGAAAAGTTTTGGTTGCGTTATAATCATATAAAGGTCGAAAATATTTCGATGAAAAAAGAATGTAATAAATTGTCAGCAGAAAACAAACATTTAAGATATATGTTACGTAATTACCTCATCAGTGTCTCCAGGATGGAGACTACATTACCAATTACATCAATTGTTATATAAGTAGAATGCAAATAAAATAATTCAAAAGATTTTGATAAAAATTCTTTTTTAATATTAATATTTATAGAACAAAGTAATCAAAAAATATTTTATACTGCAATCATTAACGATGAGTAAATATTCCTCCTCCTAGGGTCAAATATTTGTAAGGTCTTGCACGGGTACGACCTTTGACAGGATGAAAAAAGATTTTTTCTTTAGGTGCCATACTTTCTGTTTCCAAATATATATCGAAACACGCTCTTAAACGTTGTAATTGTGCTGATATGGTGGGTGGTTTTGTCCACATAACATTTACTTCACGTTCAATGTCTCTTAATATATCTGCAGATGCAGGAACCATTGGACTTATGCTTATGCTAAATAATGCAGCTACCTTTGGATAATCCGGTTTTATAGCAATTCTAGCGATAAGTTCACCTAGAAAAAATTTCATATTTAATATATTCTTTTTTTTATAATTAAGTTAAATAAATTTATTAAAAAAAAAAAGAAAAAAAAATACTATACTGCTTCCACGACGTAATACAGCTTCATAAAATATATCAACAGCTGATACCAATCCTTCTCGACATATAGGTACGTTTGCATAATTTGAGTAATTTTTCCATGTCATTGTAGTAAATCTATATAATATGGTAGTGATTTTTTGTGGCAATGGATCAACAGTATTTACAAATATAGGTAAGTTCCCTGATTCCAATCGACGAATTTCTCTACATAATTCTAATCGTGCTTTTACTCGTCTTTTTATTTCTTTCAGAACACTTACAACGCTATCTTGTGTTGATTCTTGAACAGTAAGCTGTAAATTAAATATTATGTGAAAAAATTGCTAAGAACATTTGCATTTAACATAAAGTATAAAAGCTATTTACTTTTTGATCATGTGGGTTAGCTGAAATAAAGTGCAATCCAGCCATTCTTTGAGCCCATCTATAAGGAATACCTAATCCTAATGTTGAAAATAGTCCTAAATTGTGACGTGCTAATTGGTAATGATTGGCAGGATTTGGGCTTTCTATACCCAGATCATTGGGATATAATTCACGAAGAACTGATTCTGATACAAGCATATCTCTGTTGTAAAAAAAAAAAAAAAAAAAAAAAGAAGAAAAGAAAAAAAAAATTTTGTCGATACAAATACACAATTATATGTAAGAAGTAGTATCATAAAATTAAAATTACCCAGCACTAATTCCTCCAGAAACATCTGTTTCGAGTTTAGATTCTACTGTAACAACTTTTAGATGTATCATATAAAAGAATTGTAATGTTAATTTGGTTTCACCTGAAAATGAATATTCATTTTTAAATCTTCTAAATTATATTTAGTATTTTATAAAATAACTTACTTTTCAATGAAATGACAAGTGTTACATTTAAAGGATGCCTTTGCAATAGTTTTAATCTTTTTTCCTCTTGTCTAGCTTCTCTAGATAATCTATGATGTCTTTTTTTGTGTACAGGTGTCTCTTCTACAATATTCTCTAATTGAGTTTCAGGATCTGAATCAGATTCTTGCAATCCATCTTGATTATTTGTACGCTTTGCTTCATCTTCATCTCCTTCAACTTTTATGATTAATGTATTATCTGAAAAAATAATTTATTAATATTGGAAAAATAAATTATAAATATATAATGCTAAACATACCATATGCATCTCGATATGCCGTTGCTTTTGCATAAAGTACATATAACGGTGATGCAAGCAAAGCTGCTTTTTGATGTTCTTGTCTAACTTTATCTAATGGAAGACCAAGGCTTTCTTGCAATGGTTTACTTGCCTGAATGAATATATTTATAAATATATACATATATATATATAATAGAATGAAAGTATATTAGAATACAAAAAAATTACTTCTAGTATGGTTAGAAGTTGTGGTGCAAGGTTGTCCAATCTAGTTTGTTTGGATTCCATATCAACTGTAACTGCTTTCTTGCTTTCTGTTAATTCATCACATAAAGCAGCTAGCTGTTTTCGTTGAGTCAATTCCCATTCAAGACGAGCTAATCTTAATTGATGTGGATTTACTTTTGTTATTTCCTGAGATAAATAAAATCATTAATTAAAAAGAAACAAATCTAATATTAAATGTTTACAATATAAATTTTGCATATTTTGTTTTTCTTTTCTCTTTTTTTTTTTCTTTTTTTTTTTTTTTACATACAGGTCTACAAATGCTTTCAGGTGCTTCTTTATAAAATTCTTCTTCCGATACAAGTTGTATCAATTCATCCTTAGATCTAGAAAGCAAAAAATGTAAGTTTTATTTTATATGTGTATAGCATTATTTTATATTTTTATAACGTATCAAAATCACTACAAAGAATATAAAAACATACTTAAATTGGAGACATTTGATAACTTCTTTTTTTAAGTGCATGACTTCGTACAATAAATTCTGTAAATGTAAATGTTTACTATCCACACTACTTTTTGCTGTGACTAAAGAATCTCGAGCAAATTTGGTACGAAACTTTTCCATTCTATTAAGTTTCTTTAATTCGATAAATGCTAATGACGTCTGAATTTGTAATTCGTGTACTTCGTCCTCAGCCTGAAATATTATTTTTATGTATACGATATATTATATATGAATTAATAATATTTAAAAAAAAAAAAAAAGAATTCTTCAATAAATTAATATGTATACATTTGAATCACTGCTAGCTTTTAACTTCGCTATTTTACTCATAGCTTTACGAATATTTTCACAAGTGTTTAAGAAGCATTGCGAATCACTTTCAGATGATCTATCCAAGGCTTCTTTTTCTTCATTGGTGATTATTGTCTACACAATAAAATTTTATATTAAAACTTTATCTTTTAAATATCGTTTTTGATAAACAGAATACAAATTAACCTTATACATATCTCCATCTTTTAGCCACGTTATAGTACTAGTACTAATAGATTTTCTCCTTTTTTTGGAATTATCTGTATCATTTTCTTTACCCATTTTATAACTTATACATCACTTTACTCTTAAAATGATACTTACAAAGTATCACGAATAAAAATCGTATAATTAACGATAAATCTCGTCAATGACCTCACAAATATTACATACAAGTTTTAAAATTTAGTCACTGAGGGCGCTAAGTGTCAATGATGAACTAGTATCGAGATGTAAAACTACATGCTATTTTACTTATTCTATGCAGATCATTAATTAAATTCTGCATTTCTTATATAACAGAAATATTTTCATTAAATATTAATAAATATGAATATAAATGATGAATTTTGATAAATATATTTTTTATACATACATCATTTATGACATCTACAAGACATTATAATATTTTATATTTTATAATTAACGTAGTGATTCGAAGGTATAATGTGTTACACCAGCTTTAGGGTATTGTTTCTGCATCTAGAAAAAAAAATCATAAATATATTTATAAATAATATGTGATAGATATAGATCATTTTTATATTAAGGAGCTTACCACACATTGGAACCAAGGATAATACTCAAAAATCCAATAAACAATTCCTAAAGTTGTCATTGTACCAACAAACATCAGAACTACTTCTAAACCTGATAGTGGAGTTCGAACTCCAGCAGCATAACGATCTTCTCCTATTTGATCTTCCTCAATATGTACCTAAGAAATATGATATTAATATAAAAGTCTATAAAATTTGAAAAGTTTCAATTCCACTTTAATAATTACCGGTTCATTAAAATTTCTTCTGAATTCAGGAAAATCCCAGGGATAATATGGATCTCTCGCATCAGCTCCTATATATGGAAGTTTTGGATAATCACCAAATCCAAATCCATCCGGTTCATAAGCTTTATATTCCCGTGGATGTAAATTATATTTTTCAGCTGCTTCCTTTATTTCTTCTTCTGTTGTTGGCACATCTTTTTTAGCTCTCCATTTATAGAGATATGGCTTTACTTAAGGGAAAAATAAAATAAATATAAAAAGGATAACAATTAATTTAAAAATGTAATACATAATAAGATGGCATGTTTATATTATTCATAATATCATTATAAAACAAAAATAATAAGAATAAGTTGTTAGACAAATAAAAACTTACATAATAAAATAATAACCTATTAAATTATTAAGACTAACTAAGATTAATATTATGATACTCACTCTCTTGACTATAATTAACTTTAACATGTAAATTTGCGTTATTTCTCGATAATAATATAGTTCTTGTTAATGTCATACAATTTTTTATGAGAACCATTTTTACAGAAACTCTACACTCTGAAATGGTTAAATGCAGTCGAAGGATCGAAGCACGCGCAAGCGTGTGTGCTGTGTGCATGAGCTCTTTGTACACGCAGAGAGACACGTTAAGCTTGATTGAAAATATTTACATATATCAATCGAATAATTACGAATTGATCTTGAATATTTATTTTATCGTTGCTCAATTTTTTGTTCGTTTTATATAATGGAATATGTAATCATCGTCGCGATTCAATTATAATTAAATTTATCATGTCGAATGACCATTACTCTACGGTCGTTCTATCACGAAACGATCGTTGTCATGCGAACGTTCTTTACGTTATTAAAAATCAATTTGTAACAATTCTATTGGCATTTTATTTTATATTTTTAACGGCGTTTCTTAAAAGATCATTTTGGAAAAGGTAGGAATATTAGATAAAAGTCTAAAAAAGTTTACAAAATCGAATAACCTGAAGAAATGGGCGACATTATGACTCAATGACTAGCCTTACGGAAGCTTGAAATCAAGATGGCCGGTTGCTTGCATTCATTAGTGTTGCTGGATACAGTGTAATATTTTGGGATAATTACCCGTAGAAAAACTGGGAAGATTTGTTCTAGGATCATTGGAGTTCTTTGTGTTTTTTTCTCGTCATTTTAAGCTGGTCTTATAAACGGTACGTTAAATTCAACATGTAATTATAAGCCTGCGAAAGTTTCGATGAAATTTCGACAAACGAAAGCAATATTCAAGTTTTAATACTCTGTCGATTTATTTAGAATTTATACGAATTCGAAGCGGTTTTATTGGTTATGTTTGTTTTTTATGATTATTGGAGAATATAAATAAATTATTGTGTGTACGTTTGTTGTGTTGGTATTAACAGTTTTTTTTACAGTAGCTTGTTGGATATTTATTTGGCAAGAAAGTGCAGTGATAATTAGTAACGCGCGTAATGCAAATAGAATTTAAAATAACTATCATTGAATATATTTAAATATAAAATTTATCCAAAAATTTACTTTTTGGAGATTATTATTGTTGAAGCAGGCAATAGATTAGTAAAATAAAAATTGATACTTTATCATTCCAAACAAAGTATAATTATAATATATAATTTAAATCTTTAATTTAACATGATATTTGTGTAGGACATAATTATTGAGTAAGCTGGAGTCTGACTGTAGCAATATGGCGAGTCCATCGCCGCAATCATCTCCTATGCCACCGCCACAAGCTCCAAGTCCAATGGGTCCTCCACAGCAAGCTCCATCTCCATCTAATCCTCAAGGCAGTCCTATGGGCCCGCCACAACATCATCCACATAGTCCAACGCAAGGATATCAAGGTGGGCCACCAATGCCACCAGGAGGTCCTCCTATGTCACAACCTCCACAACAACCACCATCACAACAACAAAATTATCCACCTCATCCACAGCAAATGCCACCCAATATGGGTCCTCAGGTATTTAATTCTTATCATTTCTTATAAAATATTGTGACTTGTGTGACATATACAATGTTTCTTTTTTATATTTTTTTTATTTTTTTTTGTATATTACAAATATACTATTATATTATATAATATTATATTATATAATATATTATATTATATAATATTATTTGTATATTACAAGAAAATATGACAATTACATTCATATATTGATGGAATAAATGCTACTGATGGTATTCAAATAATTGCTATAATTAACTATTAAAAATATTTAATAAGATAGAAGATATAAAATAATTCTTATTTATCGTTAAACAAATATATAATACAATTCATAAAATATAAAATGTTATTTCTTAACTAAATATATACACTTATATTTAATACAAATTTTTGTTAATAGATTTTAAATCTGCTTCTTTAAAAAGTTCAACAAGTTGCTCTGCAATGGATTGATTGCAAGCTGCTATAACTTTTGGAATCATTAGATCTAATTCATCGCCTATAAAAATAAGACTAATTTAATATCATGATTACACATACTTTTATAATTCAACAAATGAAAGATTTTTGCTTATTGTATACCATTTGTACTTATCACAATTCCTCCTGCTTCTTCTATTATTAATTTGCCTGCGGCTACATCCCAAGCATCTATTCCTTCAATATGATATGCTTCAACAGCACCCATTGCAACATAACATAATGTAAGTGCTGCGGTTCCTAATGATCGTATTCTACAAATAAGAAAATATTAATAATTATTAATAAGATATAATATTAAATTACATATTTAATTCTTTTATGTATTTACCCATGAGTTCCTTGAATTAAAGCATGCATTCTAGTATATACACTGACTAAATATGTTCTGTCTTTGGCGAGCCATGGTTCCATAGCGACTAATGCTTCAGATAAATCTAGAAACATTGTATAAGTCTTAATATCTTTTATCAAAAATATATTATCTTATATAATACATTATAGATAATATATTATAGCAAAATTATTTATTCTAATTTTGATTTCTAGAAAATAATTTTTAAATATAATAATAGTAAGTAATCGTTGTTACTTTGTATATGAGATGTCTGTATCGGTTTTCCATTAAGGAATGCTCCACAGTTTCTTTTCGCAGAAAAAAATTGTTTCATGATAGGATTATAAACTATTCCTATCTCTGCTTTTTTATTTATTAAAAGAGCTAAGGAAATGCACGTATGTGGAAATTGATGTACAAAATTTGTAGTGCCATCTATAGGATCTATTATCCATGTTGGATCATTTGTTAATTTTGGTAATCCATTCTTTGCTACGCTTTCTTCTCCAATAAATCTGAAAATTAAAGATGTATTATCTCTCTTTTTCTCTCTCTCTCTTTATAGATTGTTATTAGTCATTAATCAAACATACTTATGAGATGGAAATCTTTGAGTTAATTTATTGATTATTTCATTTTCTATCTTATGGTCATACTCAGTAACAAGATCCCAATCAATACTTTTACATTGAGTAGTTTTCTTTTTGTTGATAGAATTTTGTATTATCTAAAAATCAGACGAATAATATAAATGATAGTGAAACATGTTTTTATATATTACATGTTTCATACTGAATAAATATATTATTCTACATATTAGTGAGGATTAACGTGACCATGATCTTTAATAGTACGATTTTTATTTCGTTTTTCATAATTTATATATATATATATTTTCAACAAAAATATATTCACTTACCTCGCCTGCTAACATAACTAATTCACTCGCTGAATTATAACATTCGTTTATATCGATCATCTCGCTTCTGCTTCGTGACTGTTAGAACACTTGATTAATATTGACACTCCCACAAACACTCTGACTTGATCGACAACGATGCCTTAAACGAACGAAGAAACCTTGCCTGATCTAGCGAGCAAGTGCAGTTAATATGTAAAAGAGAAAGAAGTATGAGTGTGGAATTAATATAAAACGTTACTTTCGACTAAAGTACGTATTGTAAATCGTGTATAAACACATACACACGCATACACATATAACGTTATTTATAATGTTAATGTGATTTTAATGTATTACAAAAGTGTTCCTTTTCGCTCGAACTAACTCGAAATATTAAAATATCGGGATCTCTTCACTCGAATATAATAGATCACGTTCACATCTGAATTTCCACTATTCTCATTCATTCTTTTTCCAAGTATTTAGTTAGCGTGCCATTTTCCCTATCACGTCATTCGAGTAATGTGAATGGTATTTCCTAGAACGATGTTCTTTTTTCTCTCTTTTTTTTTTTTTTTTTTTTTTTTTTTTTTTTTTTTTTTTCTTTTTTTCCTTAGCCTTGGGAATTTTTATACTTTTATCTCACTTTTGATCGACGTATTTATGTACAAAGGTATCACAATGTATACGTATAAGAAACAATAATCAAATTATCTACAATCATATCTGCGACAGTATATAACGAAAGATTATATTTATGGCAGTAGTTACGTGGGTTACGAGATTTACGAACTTATTAGTCTCGTCTCTCTTTTCGTTTATTTTCTTAAGGGAAAAAATAAAAAAGAAAATAATTGACAAGGATATTCGATAATAAACGAATATTTAAGAGCTACCTTATGTTTAATTGATTCATGATACATACATAAATTACAGAACGAGATATATTCTTATATTATTATTTATTTCTCAAGGACACTTTTTCATCGGCTTCGCGTATTATCCTAACGAATTCCCTCGCGATCTTTTCGTTGCAAGCACCGATTGCTCGTGGTTTCATAATATCGATCTTCTCACCTGTATAAAAGTTTTAAATTATTATTATTATTATTATTATTATTATTATCATCATCATTATTATTAATATTATTATTATTATTATTATCATTATTATTATTATTATTAATTTTCTTAAATAATCGTTTTCTTGAGGAATTAAAGTGCTGGTTTAAAAACTTTCCATTATTAAATATTGAACGGTTTTATGTAAATTTAAAATTAAAAAGACATAGATTACCTGTTACGCGATCAACTACTATACCACCTGCTTCGGTGATAATCAAGGATGCTGCCGCGATATCCCAAGTGGAAATTCCAGGACCTTCGATGTAATAACCTTCCACTATCCCCAAAGCGACATAGCAAAGCGTTAAAGCCGCCACACCAAGAGTGCGAACACTTTAAAGAAGTAGATCAGAATATCAGGCAAGGTCAACGTTGTAGAAATATTCGGTCGTTTGGAAAATGGGTAAATTTTTTTTTCATTATTTTTTAATTAATTATTTTAACTTTATTTTTTTTATTTTTTTCTCTCGAAACAATAATATCTATCTGATAAGATCAAGTATTTTTTTTTTTTTTTTATTATTATTATTATTATTATTATTATTATTATTATTAATATGAATTTGTTTAAACGTACCAGTGTTTGTATGTGTGTACGCGCGCGTTTGTGTGTTATAATTCATTTATTTATCTTACCCTTGTGCTACCCGTGCAATAGCTTGAATTCTTTCGACAGTTTTCTCTCTCATATGATCAATCTTTATAAAACCAGATTCTATGCAGATCAAAGCTTTCGATATGTCTGACAAGATAAAATTTATTTCTTAATAATCTCTTCTTTAGGAACCACGTATTGTCTCAAATATTTTCTCTCTCTCTCTTTCTTTCTTTCATTTATTTTTCTCACCTTCAATTTTTGATACTTTAATACGTTTTCCATTTAAAAACGCTCCTTTATCTTTACGAGCTGTAAATAATTGTTCGTGGATTGGATTGTAAACTATACCCAATACCATTTCCTTTTTAACGGCTAATCCAATAACGACGCATGTATGAGGGAATCCGTGTATAAAATTAAGTGTACCGTCAATGGGATCAATGATCCAGGTAGGATCATTAGTCAATTCAGGTAATATCTGTCCAGTTGATTCCTCTGCAATAAATCTAAGACATAAGATATGAATAATCATTTATGATAATTTGTTAATTGGTTAATGGTATTGCTTGATAATTATTAATAACTCATTTACCTATGGCTTGGATATAAATTCTTCAATTTACCAATAATAATGTCCTCTATCTTTTTGTCATATTCAGTTACGAGATCCCAATCGCCTAGCTTTTTATTTATGCTTTTTGAACCATTAATGGCATCTTTCAGAATCTTTTTGAACAACGTAACATCAAGTAATTATTTATTCGTGACAATAATTGGAGATAAGATATTTTATAGATTGATGAGTTTGATCGATACTTCAAAAGTATTTTTTAATATCCTTATCAAAGTTTTAAGTTTTGTTCATTGAAACTTACCTTTGCACATTCCTGAATGAGATTTAATGCTACTTCGTAATATTCATCTTCGACTTGTCGTGCCATTTTCTAGTTGAATCTTTTCAATCTTAACGTAGTGTAGAATAACTCGTTTACGATCGGCTTACGAAAAGGCTTCAAGGTAGACTGTCTTCGTTACAATGTTCTGTTTCTTATGCTTCTTACTAATGATTCTCTTGGAGTGGGTATAAAAGTAAGATTCGAGATGATGATAACAATTCATTGATTAAACATAATTTTTCTAATTTTATGCTGAATGATCTTATCTTTGATTTTATCTCAACTCGATGTTGCATAAAAATGTTCTCATGCAAATGTATATTTTTTAATAATAGTAATAATGTAGTAGATCTAATTGTGTTTGTTATAACAAGATAACGTTGTTGACGCGCAACGATAATTTTAATTGCGTTCGGTAAATGTGAGTAGTCTTAAATAATTTTATTGATGACACTTTAAGATTGTCGTGTATTTAAAACGAAATGCAACATAAGCCTATGAAATATTTATCAAGCTAATTGAAGAATTAAATATAGAAAAGGACAAATTGATTCTATCTTGATTCAATGTAATTAAAATTTACGTAATACTGTTCACGTAGAATAAATTTCATATCTAATTGTACCTCGTGACCTGTCACGTTGACGATTTCATGTTGAGATTTTTTTTTTTTGTTGTCACTTTTTTTCCCTCATCAGTGAACTTATTCTTCATCTTCGATCATCCTTTATTTAATTATTTATTTATTGTTTTTTATTCTTTTATCGGTTTTTCACGTATTATTACGATGTACGAAACTAATAATCGAACGTTTACATGTTTAGAAATAGGAGAATTATTTCATTATATCTTAATTTATACAATATTATACATGTTAGTAAAAAATAAGATCAAGTTCGTCGAAGTCTTTTTCTTTGGGTTTTCAAATCGGTATCAACGATCAGTTTCGTCATCTCGCAAGCCAATTGCGTTGTAGACGCGACTACGGTGTTTGGTTTCATTAGATTGAAAGGTCCACCTAAGGTGAATGTAAAAATCTTTAGTAAAAAGAAAAAAAAAAAAAAAAAAAAAGAAAGGAAGGAGAAATAAAAAAGTAAAAGGAAAAAAGTCAACGACAAATATTGAATATCTTGACTCGCTGTTGTACCTTTCGAATCTAGTAAGGTACCACCGGCTTCACTAACTATAATCATTCCTGCTGCCACGTCCCAAGGTTGAAGACCATCCATTTGAAAGCAATCGATTACGCCTTTAGCCACATATGCCATCGATAACGCAGCCGAGCCTACGTTTCTGATACTAAAAAAATGACCGATAAAGATTTTTAAATCGTTTTTATTAGATATGCTGATTTTTAATTTTTACGGATTATTATTACTTTAACTCACGCTTGGGATGCTTCGAATAAAGCCAAGAATCTACCCAAAGCGATGTCACGGTTTTTGTACATTCGCAAACTCCCCACTTCAAACGCCAATAAACTCTTCTTTAGTTCTAAATCAAAATAAAAATACATAGAGATAAAATATATCTAATTTAAAAAAGAAAAAAAAAAGGAAAAATTAAAGAATTATTTAAACGGATTATTTACAAAAGAGAAAAAGAAAATTGTGTAGTAGTAATAATTTACCTGTTACTTTGGATACTCGAATAGGTTTTTCATTTAGAAATGCACCTTGGCCTTTTTTTGCCGTATATAGTTCGCAATTAACAGGATTGTAAATTATTCCTAGGACTATTTCCTTACATATCGCTAAACCAACCGAGATGCAGTATTGCGAAAAAGAGTGTACGAAATTAACTGTACCGTCGATCGGATCGATTAACCATGTTGGTGAATCAGTCAATTCTGGCAATATCGATAGGCCAATTGTTTCTTCCCCGATGAATCTGCGTTATCGAGAAGGCTTTGATAAAACATTATCCATATAACTCTAATTCTTGATTTTTATTTTACTCACTTGTGATCAGGAAATTCTTTGTTAAGAGCATTGATCAAGAATTCCTCTATTTTGTGGTCAAAATTCGTTACTAAATCTTTTTCTATCCATTTAGTTTCGACAACTTTTTCCGTATCATCGACGTTTTTAATCAACTATTAAAAAGAAAATAAATTCAAGGAACGTGACATTATTCGTATTCGTTTAATTATCGTCGACATACCTTTCCAGCTTCTAACGTTAGATTTTTTGCGAATTCAAAATATTTCGAAATATCCTGATCATTTGCCATAATTGTCGAGAAAGAGACTTTCGTTAGAGTGACTGTTCGATTAGATATGCGAGATGTCTGCTTCGTTCTTATCTTCTTAAGCAATGATATCTGATTCCGAAGATGGCGCCGGTAAATGGATTTCCACATTTAAGATGAATTCTGATTAATTGTGGTACTTTCTTTTTTCTTTTTCTTTTTTTGAATTGTCTTTATTACAAATCTATTTTACGTGTACGCTTGGGTAATTAAATCGAGCGACGCGACGTTCCTGAAGTTCAGGTTTGAAACGATTAACGATTTAAAAATACTTTCGGACTGTCGATAAATCGATTGTCATCAATTGGTCAGCCTAAAACTACCTTCGAAACGTTTGTATATTATTCATTTATTCATGGTAAGATTGATCTTTTCGTTTTTTTTTTGTTTTGTTTCGTTGTAAAATGTAAATCTTTAGATTATTTTTTATCGAGTTTTCACATTATTTTTTAATAAGTAAAACGCTTATTTAAATTGTTACCTGCTTTCTTGATCGAATTTTTGCAATGTGTATATGTGCATATATGTATACACACACAGACACACACACATATATATATATATATATATTTTTTTTTTAAACTATGATAACACTTTACGATAAAATACAATAGTTATCAATAAATCGAATAGAACAGTCTCGCTGCTCTTTATAAACTAGTAAGACTTTGGTAAGATAGCAGTCATTTTTAACAATTATCGTTATTTAAGAAAAAGTGATAATTCTATTATCTTGTTCGCGTACAACTTCGAAAGTATTACGTTGTGGCCTTAAGTATTGATCTTCTTAGATGGGTCTTAGAATCCGCATGCTTGATCAGTTTGACTAAATCATTGCCCAACTTTTTATTACCAACTGCCACTATTTTTGGAGCTATTATTTTTAATTCTCCACCTAATATGTAACAGGAAAAAAAAAATACAAGAAAACAATTAGCTAGAAATTTCGTTAAATATATAACTTCGTTAAATTGAAATTAAAGAATGATGATTATCTTTTATTTGATATAAATACCATTTGTATCGATGACTGTACCACCAGCTTCTTGGATAATTAGTACACCTGCTGCTATATCCCAAGGCATTAGATTGTCCGAATGATAACCTTCTATAGCACCCATAGCCACATAACAAAGTGACAAGGCTGCTGAACCCATTGTTCTTATACCATGAGCTACCGTAACAAATGCTTCGAGTCTACCAAGGACGATATCTCTGATATCTTCTATTGCTGCAAAGGAAGCTTCCAAACATAGCAAAGAATGTTCCAAATCTGTCAATTATTAGTAATTTATTAATCAAAGTAACAAAGGAGTTATTTGGATTATATAAATCTTTCTTTAGGATTGCAATAGAAAAAAGATTTTTTTTTTTTTTTCTCATACCTCTTATATTCGAACATTTTATAGGTTTGCCATTTAGAAATGCACCGTGACCTTTCTTAGCCGTAAACAATTGTTCTAACACGGGATTATATACGATTCCCAATTGGAGCTCTTTGTTCACGGACAAAGCGATCGATATGCACGTAAAGGGAAAAGAATGAACGAAATTGGTCGTTCCATCGATCGGATCGATGATCCACGTGGGTGCATCTGTCAGTTCTGGTATAGATTTCGTTATTGAGACTGTTTCCTCACCGATAAATCTACAAACATAATAATACATAATGATCTATAAATATAATTATCAAAATTAATTCATTTATATCTACAATTGTGTCTATTTGAAGAATGATTTTTTTCTTTCCTCCTATCAATCAATTGAATTCATTTTATATACCATATTATATTATACTATAGCATATACTAACTTGTGCTTTGGAAATTCTTTGGTAAGATTGTCGATCAAAATTTTTTCAACCTTTCTATCGTATTCGGTTACCAAATCCCAATCGGCAGCTTTCGTTTCGATCTTTTTATTAGATCTATCAATGGCCTCTCGTATTACCTAATACAAAAAAAAAAAAAAAAGAAAACGTTATTACATTTCATAAAAGTTATTATATTATATAATACGATACACGTAATACAATCTTTTGATTTTATTAATTACTCTGTGAAATATATGCGATAAATTCTACGCGATAAATTTGGAAGACCATAGTTATGATAATAATTTGATTGAATAAACGCGATAATGATAAGCATATAATCTTATGTGGAAGGTAGAACGTATGACAAATTATGACATGCGTATATTATTCAAGATGGATTTATTTGAAGAAGAAGAAGAAGAAGAAGATTCATTGAAAAGTAGTTAATTCATTGGATCAATGTAACTTGACCTTGAATGAATATTGGTCACTAGATAGCAATTGACATTATACTTTTATTAATTTTAAATGATACAAATTCGTGATCATTGAAATCCATAATTGATTATAATCGCAATAATAATTAATTGTCCTCATAGTTGAATTTAAAGGGCAAATATTTTTATCAAAAATTCTTTTTTTGTAAATCACAATAAAATTTCTATAATTACCTTTCCTGATTCGATAGTAAGTTTCAAAACGTAATCGTAAATACGATCGAGTTCCTCTTGATCGACCATCGTATGTATCACTGATTTAAATTGATAAAATTCAAGTTAGCGTTTACTTTTAATTTTTTATCTTGAAAAAATTTCGACCAACTACTATCACGATCTGTCTTGGTTGTAATAGCGAGTCGTTGAAGGAAGCTCTGTTTTATGGTATACTTGCGCCCCTTTACCCCTCCAGCTAAACAACCACCACCACCACCACCACCACTACTACCACTACCACCACCACCACCAACACCACTATGTGCTTGCAACTGATCGACATAATAGGAATATTAAATGCCAGTGGAATTCTTTTCTACTTGACGATATTATTGATAGAATAAAGCCTAGATAGATTAGAGAATTATATTTTTATTTTCTATTTTCTCTTTTATCCTAGCCGTTAGAAAAAGATTAGAAATAAACTATTGTATATGTATGATTTTTAATAATTTTTATGGACATTGATTATTGACTATGGGAAAAGTTATTTCACTTAAACATTTAGATCAATAATTAATTATCGACGATATCAAATTAATCAATAAATAATAATAATAATAATAATAATAATAATAATAATAATAATAATAATAATAATAATAATAATAATAATAATAATAATAATAATAATAATAATAATAATAATAATAATAATAATAATAATAATAATAATAATACTAATATAATAATAATAATAAATATAATAATACTAATAATAATAATAATAATAATAATAATAATAATAATAATAATAATAATAATAATAATAATAATAAAAGGGCAATTATTATAATAAATTCTTTCATCGAGAAAAAAAGAAAAGAAGTAATTATTTTTCAATGTTTAATGTAATGTCGTATTTATGAAGAAATATTTGTCACGTGAAATCCTGGATATATCGTTGAGTTCCACTTGTGTACATGTACACCGGATGCCTTGCATGCTCCATGAACGTGATTTCGTTCGGTTTGGGGCGTGAACAAGCCATGATCTATCGTTCTTCTATACATAAAACGTTTAATATATAATAAAATAATGGTGTGTGTATGTGTTAGTCACAAGTTAAGCACGTGTAATCGCGTGTTCGTCTTATTGTTCGCATGTATATTCGCTACTATATGTTTACTTGGACCTTCACGTGGATGATTTGTCATCGTTGTCCTTTATCTTTTTGTCTTTCGATTAATCTTGTTAGTATACGTCGTATTATGAATAACTAGTTTAAAGTACGCTGATCAGTTTTGCCAATCTTAATTATATGTATTTGTTGGGATATTAAATATGTTAAGAAAATTTGTCTTTGTTCATAATGGAATCCTTTAGTTTCTCATTTCAAAGAAATAAATTATAGAAAAGATAGTGTTCATTTTAACATTTTATCACTTTTTCCTTGGTGTATTATCTTGAGGAAAAAACGAAAAATATAACTGATCGATGAACAAACAAAAAAAAGAAAGAAAAAAATAAAAAAAATAAAAAAATATGAAAGAAACGAATTTGTAACGGATGGATGATAATACCTGCAATAATATAGATTTAACAATAAAGATATAAAAATGTAGATATCAAGAAGCAAACATTTATTGCATGAGGTAACTGTTAAGTTGAGGTATAAATTTTTTCTAAATAAAGTATTTCCTTTTACTTTTTAATAAAAGATTTTATGTCACACACATGGTATAACATATCTGATATTACATGTAAATGAATATCATGAACATATATGAGTAATATGAATTGTTATTTATAAATTTATATTCTAATCATAATATAATTGATTACAATTAATTTGATTTTTAGAATCAAGGTGGATCTGGTCCAGTAGGCCAGGGACCAAACTCTCAGCAGGGACCGGTTGGATCGATGGTACCTGGTCAAATAGGTCCTAATGGGCCTCAAAGTGGAAGGCCTGTTGGAAACAGTCCAAGTAATCAAATTGGACCTGGAGGACAAATGGGACCTGGTAATCAAATGAGTCAAAGTGGTCCTGCTAATCAAATGGGTCAATTAGGACCAGGAAGTGGCCCAGGCACCCAAATGGGACCTGGAAGTAGTCCTGGTGGACAAATGGGTCCAGGTAATGGACCTACTGGCCCTGGTGGTCCAATGGGGCCTGGTAATGGACCTTCTGGACCTGGTCAAATGGGACCCGGCGGGGGTCCTGGTGGACCGCAATTGGGGCCAGGACAAATGGTACCTAGTAATCAGATGTCTCAAAGTGGGCCAGCAAATCAACTAGGACCCAATGGACCAAGTAATCAGATGGGCCCAGGAGGACCAGCCAGTCAAATGAGTCATGCAGTTGCTAGTGGTCAAATGGGACCAAATGGACTCGGTGGACAACCGAACTCCAATCAGATAGGTCCCAATACGTCAAATCAAGGACAAATTGTTCCAGGAAATTCAGGTCCAATGGGACCAGGTGCACCAGTAAATCAAATGAGTCAAACTGGACCTGGCCATATTGGGCCTAGTGGTCCTACAGGACCACCTGGTTCTGGTCAAGAAAATTTGAATGCTTTACAAAAAGCTATAGATTCTATGGAAGAAAAAGGTCTTCAGGAAGATCCACGATATTCGCAATTACTAGCGCTAAGAGCTCGTCAAGGAAGTAGCATGGGAGAGAAACAAACATTTAGTGCTCAACAGTTACAACAACTACGGTACAGTTTATTGATATCTTTTTTATTTCATTCTTTTAATACGATTAAACATTTTTATCATTATTATTTACAGAGTACAAATCATGGCATATCGTATATTAGCAAGGAATCAGCCTTTATCACA